GTTTGTAGCCGTGTTTTAAAGAACCATACAGTGTTTGTAGCTGTATTTACGGTGTTTGTAGCCGTATTTTGAGTAACCATACGGCGTTTGCAGCCGTATTTTGAATCGGCGTTTGTAGCCGTATTTTATTAACAAGTAAAATAAGTTAGAATTCACTTTCCCTATAATGTTTGATGCCATAATATAATTTATGTGGTCTCGGGGGTAGGCCTATACCGCGTTCCCCACCCCAGAAGGTGGCGGTAATCACGTCCCAACTCGTTGTCGGGTCGTGATTATTTGGCGTTACGCGGCATTGCAATGGGTATACCGTATATATTAGGCTCTTTACTGCTGTTTTCGGAGTAAAGCGCACTTTACTAGCTATTAAAGTGACCATTCCCTACGGGGGGGTTCACATTTTATTTACGGACTACCTAAGTGTAACAGTGAGCTATTGGGCAATAACTGTTTTGGACTTTGGCCAATTTGGCCTTATTAACTGTAACATTGATGGTGCCAGCCATACCTCGGCGGACCACAATGATATTTTATAACCTACTGCCGTGACCACATATCGCCAAACTTAATAAAATTATAAACCTTATTTCTTGTGTATGTTATCTTTTCTTCAATAATATACATAATACACAACAATTGATACAGTTTTATACAATTAATACAATTAGCATTATATAATTATTCAATACAATTTTGAGGAAGCCGCAGGAACTACCTTAATAATAATAATAATAATTCGAGGTTTCTATATACCTCTGTATCACAACTTAGTTGGTAGGTCGTCTCAAAGCGGTTCACACATTATTATCCGTAGTTATAGGGCTTTTGCAACCAGCCAATATCTTTCTCAACTCCATGGGGAGCATACAGTCGGTGCTGCCATTACGGCGCTCACAGCTAGCATTCAACAATTCTAGCACTGCCCAACCACGTACTCATTTACAGCTGAGTAGACTAGAACAAGCGGAGTAAAGTATCTTGCTCAAAGATACAACAACGTGCCGTGACGTGACTCGAATTCGCAACCCCTCGGTCACGAGTCGGGCGTCCTACCACTAGAATACCGTGCCTCCTTATCAGGCGCTAACAACTAGTCTTATGGCACCTGGGTAATATGTCCCTATGCGTGTATTCCTGCGTGTGTGCTGGAGATGTATTGTGTTCTGTTTGTAGCAGGGGCCGTGCTTCCAACGGTATCATTTATAGTGCCACCTCATTTGAATGCTACAGCACTGATACTGCAACATCCATCCCAGACAATTTTATACTCCACATGGGTTGTTGGAGTTATGTGGGCAGGAGAAAAAATACTTTCTCTGAAAATTCCTTGCATACGACGACTTCGGGGATAGAAACCCGACCGCCTGCGTGTAAGGCCGGAGTGTTAAAATTACTCGACCATCCGGCCACAATTTAGGGAATAACCTAAGATGTGGATGATAAGATAGAATGCACTATGTCATGTTTTTACAATCCAAATGTTATCAATTGTATCAGAGGGAGGTAACTAAACAAACTTTCTAACATTTATTATCAAAACAGTTTTTAAGTGGTCGTACTTACAGATATAATATCAGATACATGTAACCACTTAACCCCTTCACCCAACACTTAGTTGTTTCCCTCCGCTATTCATCGTTTGTCAATAACATATTTAAAGTGTCGCCATGTAGACAGCATCCAATGATACACCCATCTCCGTTTTTATGAGCAATAAATACTTCCTCATAGATGTAAAATAGTATGCATGTATCATTCCCCAAGTACAGTATACATCTGGGCGACTTTTATAGAGCTTAACACATATCTACCCAACACGAATGTATTGAAGGCGCTAACTTTTATCTCCAGGCAAGGTAAAATCACTAGGTGTAAACTCTTTAAGTAGCCATTGTAAGTCAGTTTTAGTCATTCTTATTTTGAGACAAATTTAATGAGAATGCACTAAAAGCTTGATTTATTATATTTGAATTTTTGAAAATTGACACATTTCTTGTTATTAGGTATTATTTATCAACCATGACTGCTTTATCAATGAATAAGATCATCCATCAGTCAGAAAAGTCAATTTTGCGTAAATTCTGCTTTAAAAAACATGTTTATTTTAAATAACAAAACTCTAGAATGATCAATTAGGAATATTTCGCCATGTCGGCAAAATACTTTAAATGTCTAATTTTACCGACCTTAAACACATTGACAATGAAATAAGTTTTGTAAACTGGAATAACAAACTCTGCATCAAATATTATCTTATTAATTTTAGGATTGCAATGGAGTCGTTGTGTGAAAAGCTATTTAAATCGGTATTCATTCTACCATATGTTGCTGGAAATTACCGGAGGCGGCAAAATGGATTCTGGAATTATGACTGTACAATCTCGTCCCGTGTTTTGTTCCTGATCATCGTCGCTTTAGTGATAGTGTTCACCGCCAGCAAAGAGTTAAAAACTCATGTCGAAGTTCGGTTGGGATTCATCCTGCTTCTCCTGTCAGTTCTGATGATCTGTACAGTTTTCGCTTTGTGTCGCCTTGGGCGTTTGGTACAGAAACACGGCCTCCAATCCGTTGTTTCTGCAAGAAGACACATAAGCACTCCGAAGCTTCAGATGATATTCTTGTGGGTTTTTGGACTGGGTTCGGCACTCTATTGTGCCTTATTTGTTGGAAAGCAAATCGAGTGTTCAGCATATTCTTCTGGAGGATTTTATTGGAATGTTTTGTTGTCTTTCAATATCATATTGATCCTATCGATAATCTCTGAAATGATTTTCCTCACTTACTTTTCACCATATCAGCTGAAACAGACTTCTGCAGTGAATTTCTCTTCATTTTTTTTATTAACTGCAAATATATCTGTAGTACTGTATATATATCTCATGAAAGATACATTTTTGTACGCGATAGAAATCTATCCTGAAGGTCATTTCATATCCTGCATAGAAAGCAACAGTACAATGACTATCCTCATGCATAAATCAAAACAATTTTTGAGCCCAACTTTTGTGGAATATGCCTTTTTATCAATAACAGTAGTTGTCGAAATATGGTCACCTACTAAAGTGCACCAACCTGATACCAGATCAGCTCACGAGGGAATAAATGACATAGAAAATTCGGAACAGAATTCCTTATTTGATGAATTTGACAATGGGAATTCAGAGCGAAGATCTCTCCTTCATGCAGTTGCCAATGACGAGTCACAACAGGCATGTCTTCGACAGGCAGCGATCGAACCTTATCATTCCGAAAATGGCGAAAGACGAAAAGTATCCCACATAATAACGCTGGTTGGAAGTTTAACTGCAGGACTGGGACTTGTCATTTGTTATACAGCACAAGCTATGGATAAAGGAAATATAGAAAATATTCGATACGCCACTGAAATTTATGAATTAACATTAATTGTTGTAATGGTGCTTGTGATCTTTGTTGGATTCTATTGTTTGGTGCATTCCTGTAATCTTGACAGATCAGCTCAACCGTTGCGGCCTGGGGACTATGTGTACTTACTGTCAGCATTTGGTGCAATTATGTTTCATATGTATGAAGTGATAGGTGGTGACGTTTCCTCCGATTCGTCCGGTAGTGTCTTTTTGTTTAAAAGTATCGTAAGCATATTCCAGGATTATCTACAAATTGTGTTTCTACTCCAGGCGAATCGATGTAAGAAATCGCGATCAAGCGTCGTTTTACTTGAATCTGTTTTTATATTTACTTCGGTAATTAATCTAATATACTGGTTTAACAACAGTTTTCTTAAAGCTGAATTTCCAAGTACACGCATACTCGAAAATGACCACTTTTCTAAGGAAGTGTTGGATTTAGTGTATAAAGTGTTATTACCCGTATTAGTTTTCTTTAGATTCACTTCCTTTTTAGAATTTTATGCAATTTTGGAGGAATATAAACACTAAACATAATGCATGCTAGGATATATTGTATTTTGGAAGCTTTGCGATTACGCGGTGGCCGAAGATACAATGTCTTTGTCGTGTGTTTCAACAAAATGTGACAAACTGCATTATTCTACTTCAGCTTTATAAAAGCGTGTCTAATTCTGACACTGGCCCCTTAACAAACATCATGTCGCCCTCACGCGCTCAAGTTTCCCTGATCATATTTTATCTTATTCGGATCCTCTCTAGAAAAAGGGCAAGAGCCACTACAACCTAGTTCCTAATGACGGAAGCACATCTTAACAATAGCGCGGTAAGCTAAGCATCTCTACTATTGTTTTGTTTTCTTTGTTTTTGTTTCATAGTTTCAAAAGTATAATATTTATCGCCCTTACTTATCGCCCTGTTTGAAACATGATTAATCAAGGAAACCACAAAATCGGGGTTTCCTGTAGTTGGGGCAATTAATGTATAATATAGATTTTGTATAGAAAAAGACACTCGAGATAGAGCTACAGAAAAAAACTTCAATGCATGTATTATGTATGTCTGTAGTTAAAACCGACTCTCAAAAAATGAATAATGCCATTTGAAAATTAATTATGATGTATGTCTATCTATAGACAATCAAGTCCGTTTGTGTTAACTGTAAGTACATATAATTAGAATTGCCAAAATGTGAGTCTTGTTCGTCAAAATATATATTCTCACAGAATGAGGTGAATCTGTTTACACAATATATGCATTTGTCTTGCAATGTACGTTTAGTTTTATGACTCGTGTGTTACATCCAAATATATGTACATAGTAATGTATTGTGTACAACTTTATATATAGTTCAATTGATATATTGTGTACAACTGGATGTATGTTTCATTAGTTTTATTGTGTACAACTTTTTGTATGGTTCATCAGATGAATTGTGTACAACTTTATGTATGGTTCATTAGATGAATTGTGTATAACTTGATGTATAGTTCATTAGATGAATTGTGTACAACTTTATGTATGGTTCAATAGATGAATTGTGTACAACTTGGTGTATGGTTCAATAGATGAATTGTGTACAACTCTATCTTTAGTTCAATAGATGTATTGTGTACAACTGGATGTATAGTTCATTAGTTTTATTGTGTATAACTTGATGTATAGTTCATTAGATGTATTGTGTATAACTTGATGTATGGTTCAATAGATGTATTTTGTACAACTTGATGTATAGTTCAATAGATGTATTGTATTCGTCTTGATGTATCACCATAAATCAGTTTTGAATGAAGACTCAAGTCAGTACCATAAGACTATTTAAAAGATTTGGAATGTATTGTATTGTTTCACAATTATAAATACTTGATATTTAGATTTATAACTGAAATAGACTAGATATATCATATTCGTCTGTTGATAAATATCCTTTACACAACTATTTCAAGCTGATTTTCAATAAACGCAACGTTTTTGATTGGTAAAAAAGATGGGATATGTGAATTAGACCCGATGTTGTCGAATACGATGTAAGAACCGAGGCTTTCCTAGGGTACGTATCTGACGGTGTCTCAGAGTTGAATCTGAGTATTTTACACGTGGATACAATAGATTCTTTCTACACCTAAAATCGAATCCGTTGAGGATAGAGATATCATACAGCAGAACGTGACTCACGTTTTTATACATATTTATGTCTTCTTAGATTAACATATGGGGCTAATAATTTTCTATCACTATCGTTCCTGCTTACCAACTCTCAGGTCCTCCAGTAAATGGCACAAGTGTCGGTCGACAACTTCTGACAATTTGATTGACTAACATTCTGAACAGTGGATCGTGGTGATGTGAGGATTGGCGCCATTTGACGTTGTACTTTCTCATTATTAATCTCATGTGTTATGTTAATCGATGTTTTATTTGACAAGAAGTTAACATTACAGATATGCATCAATGATTTAATCGACCGTGTAAAATATTTGAAATTTTGTTAGATATAAGGAGCGTTTAGAGTTGTTAACAAAGCTCCAATATGTTTATTAAAAAAATCATCATCTCAAAAACAATTTTCTTTGGCTTAATGTTCTTTTGTAAAAACAATGGTATCAACTTTTCGGTCATGTCATTATTTATCATGTTTATTTCGTTTAATATGTACATTTAAAAATGAATCCTGTTCTGTGGAGGTAAAGTATAACACTTACTAGTATAAACCTGAATTCTTCTTGAGACAAATGTAACGAACTTGCATATTCAAATTTGTTTCTAGACTCATTCCTGAGCAGAGGATGAATTTAATTGTGATAATGTTTCGGACTCGTGCAAGTCTAACACAGCGGAAGGTGCAAAAGCATTTGACTTCATTACTGTCTGTATGACGTCATCCTGGTGAAATAAGAATAGACCATATAAGTACATGTTTATTTCAATCGGAAGCCTCTGAAACAAATTGGAAACAACATATACCTTATATAAACTTCTTCCCGCACAAAAGTACTGATAGTCATACGCCAACTTCAGAATTCAGGAAGAAAATATCCCTTTAGACTCATTAGTAGGTATATTGAGTCCAATTTCAGTAGAAATGTATATGTATATACATACAAGTCAAATCTGTACCTTTGATGCCTTTTCCGATGAAGGTACATATACCTTGTTTCTATGTATAAAAATAGCTATGTTCAATCAAACATATATTTAATTTATTTCTTTACAGCTTTTTAATAAAACTAACGTGAAGTTACTAGTTATTTGTGGTGCGATGAACATTTCCTATCGCGCACAGCATGTTGTATACTTAAAATGTAGATGTATTTTGTGCTCTTGAACTATTAATAGTTTAAAGAATCAACACACTTGAGTGCTGCTTCCGGTTTTTCCGAAATGATCTCAGACAAATTCAAAAAACTTCGGACAGACAGCACGTAGGTGTTTTAAGCGCAGTACATTCTATATAATGCTATTTCATATATACATTTTGTATATATAAAGAGGTTTGCGTTCTGTTTAAATACTACTTTCCCAGGGAGGGTCACACACCCTTTAATTATTAACATCAATTAGATTTTATTAGTGCTTACACGTTCCCATATTGAAATACTTTTGTGTCATTTTTTTTCAAACATATGCTCTATAATTTCCAAAACAAAAGCTATGCCCTATTAACAGCTAAGTTCATTTAAGGACGTGCCTCCATGTGTGTAGTGTATGCGTAGATGGATGTAGGAGACGGGGTATGTTGGTGTGCTAGCCTCCTTGTGAAAGCGCGGATCTGATTCTGATGCCGACTTTATAGTGTTATCTCACTGAAATACCATGCCGAAGGCACTCAGCACAGCATTCTGCCCGGTTACATTATACTGACAACGGGTGAACCAGTTGTTGCCATTTCCGTAAATGCCGAACGTTAAACAGGGAATAACAACTACCATTTTAAAGGACTTTGGTATGTCCCGGCCTGGGAACAGAACCCATTTCCTTCCTCACCTGGGCGAGCGCTCAACATTAAAACCAAAAATGAGGTATTGTTAAGCGATGTAGTATTGAGAAAGATCCCAAATATTGCAACAGGTGCAGGAAATTCCCAATTCTGCACGGGGTTCATACATTAGTCGCCTCCTACGAAACATGCAGTGGGTAACAGCAGGTGTATTCTTTTCTCGAATCCCGACCTGCAGGGGTGTTCACTGAATGTAGCACATGGAGAGATTAACTTGAGTAGCTGCACTTAACAAGTCGATCGTATGTGTCATAAAAGTGAAAATTCCTCTATTCTCTGCCGGGAAAGGGGAGTTATATTGTAAATAATGTGTGATTTATACATTATTTATGTCTTCTGTTATGCCCAAACATATGGATGTTCACCTATATTTCACACAGGTACCAGACACCGCACAATTTATATTGATAGTGAAACAGTCCGTTCTGCGTTATTTCTACCATATTTTATTTGTTAAAAATCGTTATATATTACTGTGGAGTTTTTCAAATAAAAGTGTTACAGATTTTGAATTATCATAAGTCCATTGCATCATTTCTCTGATAAATAAAGTATATTTACAGTTGTTGCTTAATTCAGCATGGTACTCTTTCGATATGTCATTTTTGTTTATTCATAGTGTAAACTCAATATCAATAACATTATTATTAAATGCTTAATACATGTCACATATTGGTAACTGTCCACCTTTTAATTAAAAAGAAGTTATATATTCTCCGTCAGTCTGCTATAGCTTTGACATACGTTTTTATTCAGCAGATGCAACAAGGTTACTCAGCTGATGAAATATTTACTTCATTCTCGTTTTCAATTCAAATCGTGTTGAAAAATGCATTCAAATTATAACTCACATTATAGTTTTTAGCTCACCTGCCCGAAGGGCAAGTGAACTTATGTCATGGTCCGTCGTCCGTCCGTCCTCGTCCGTCAACTTTTCCTTTGAACAACTTCTTCTGAAGAACGGACAGGCCTAAAGTCATGATATTTGTCTGAAAGCTTTGTTGGTAGGACCCCTACAAAGTTTGAGAACGAAAATGACCTTGACCTACTTTCAAGGTCACAGGGGTCAAATATGTCAAAATCTTCAAACGACTTCTTCTGAAGAACTAAACGGTATAGAATCTTCATATTTGGCTGATGGCTTCCTGGAATGGAGTTTAACAAAGTTGGAGAACGAAAATTACCTTGACCTACTTTCAAGGTCACAGGGGTCAAATGTGTCAAACACTTCAAACTACTTCTTCTGAAGAACTGAAAGGTATATAATCTATATATTTGGCTGGTAGCTTCCTTGGATAGTGCCCAACAAAGTTTGAGAATGAAAATTAGTTTGACCTACTTTCGAGGTCACAGGGGTCAAATATGTCAAATGCTTCCAACGACTTCTCCTGAAGAACTGAAAGATATAGAATCTTTATATTTGCTTGATGGCTTTCTGGGATAGAGCCTAACAAAGTTTGAGGATGAAAATGATATTGACCTACTTTCAAGATCACATGGGTCAAATGTGTCAGACACTTCAAACGACTTCTTCTGAAGAACTGAAAGGTATAGAAAATTAATAGTTGGCAGGTGGCTTCCTGGGAAAGAGACAAACAAAGTTTGTGAATGAAAATGACCTTGACTTACTTTCAAGGTCACAGCAATCAAATATGTCAATTCTGAAGAATTAAAAGGCATACAATTTTAATATATAATATAGTAGCTTTAAGGAATAGAGCTAACCAATTGGAAAAGGAAAATGACATTGACCTACTTACAAGGTCACAGGGGAAAATATGTCGAGCAACTTCTGAAGAGGAATCAAAAAGCATAGAATCTTATAATAATATTTTGCTGGTAGTTTTAACAGATGGAGCCAACAAAGTTTGCGAGGGAAATATTTTTAGTGCAATATAATATTTAATGAGAATATTTTGCTATGACTGCTTAAATATTCAGGTGAGCGATACAGGCCCTCTTGGGCCTCTTGTTTTAAATCTAGCATGCAACATTATACATGTACATGTTATTTATTGAAAAGAAGATAATTCGAATTATGTTAAAAAGTGCATTCAAATTATAATTCTCAAATTGCTTTCTTAAAGTCTGTGTAATGTCATCCATTGAACATTATACATTTACATATAATTATTAAAAAGATGATTTCTCGTTAAAACATAAAATTAACGATATTTATAGCCAAGGGACCATTACTAAAAGTATATGGGAATTTGCATCAAATGATGATATTTGAAAGGAGATTGATAAAGGGATTCTATATCAGCAACTAGTTCTATCAATAATTTATTAATAAATTAAATCCCATATCCCTTTTATCACATCAACAAGAATCATTTCGAGAAATATTTGTGAAGAAAGCGTTATCTCTGACTTGCGTCAAGTCATCAAAAACATAATTTTGATCATAGATTTTCAACATGTTACCTGATCATAAGACGGGTATTTTCTACACAAAGGAATATATGGACGGCAGCATCGCATGCACTGCAGAAGTAATGGTATATGCATGAGAAAAAAATGATAATCGACCAAATCTGTTTAATGTCCTTACATTAAAACACATCTGGAACATGCATAATACTCAAATCAATTTGAAAGAGGGCGATTTCCGTAACTAACGTTCTTCAAGTGTGTGTTATATCACAGTTTCTAAATTGTTGTGCTTACAGAAAACATCTTATGACACATGCATTTCCGTGGTTTTCCGACCTATAATAACTTCCGCATAAACGCTTAATAGATTGAAAATAGACTTTCACTTGTGTAAGGCATTACAACGCTAAAAGATCATCTTCAGCAAACGAGAAGAATTTTAAGAAAACTAAGGAACAACGGTTACCTACAGGTAAGGTTAAATCACTAAATGCCCGTTTCGGAATGACTTAAGTGAGCGTCGATAGCATTTGGCGACATGAAGTGGCAAAATTTATTTAGATAATAAATCATGTTCGTTTGATTTGTTAAATTTAGGTTTGTGAATGACTAACATCGTGCACTACATTGTAAATATATATTTCAAATGAAACGTTATATTTGTGTATCATGTATGCTTTATCATTTAAGCAAAACAACCAACTGCCATAAAAGGTCATACGTATATGTGAGAGATCTGAGGCAACTCAATTTGTATGGATTATAAATTCCCCATCTTTTATTCTTTTTACTCTTAGCACCAATCATAGATCGTTTTAAGAATGACTTTATATATCTATCCGTCTATCCTACCACGTCAAAAGGAACTGGTGTTATTTTGTGTCTAACATTGTAGCTATAAAGCGACATGACCTACATAATCATTTTTTATAAATAGTATTGTCGTCATCATGATCTCATTTGAAAATGTACTATTTCTTTGTGTGAAATGAAGGTCGATGTTTTTTTTATCATGTTAAGTAGTATGTTTCGCTGTGTTGTTATCATTACTCCTGTTAAAGCTTTGAAAACGTGCCATTACTCGGATTTGACCTAGAACTACATGGAAAGTGTAGTCGATAAAGCAGAAGACGCTGTCTCTTCTGGGACAACTTCTCTTATTAGCCAATGTCTTTACGTTAAATTTTTTCTTTGTTGGTCTTTTGCCAAAATGTATTCTGAATTCTTATTTTTTTTAGCAACAAGACGTGTATGCATATCTTTTCTTGACCCTGAATCAAGTTGTCCTCCTCTGCCATATATACAAATGCTTACGTACTGTCACTAGAAGCGTGACCGTCTTGATATTGCCAACGTAGAATGATTTAGAATTAGAGGATATCTGAATTGCGATACAAAATACAAATGATCTAACGCTTATATTATCACAATGCACATGAAATTAGAACATGTAACTATCGGTATACACAATGATATTACAAATGTTCCAAAATTTTGAATTACAGTTTCGCTGCGTTATAAAATTATCTCATTTATTTTAGGTTTGAGATGGAGTCGTTGTGTGTTAAACTACTGAAATCAATATTCATTCTGCCATTTTGTGCTGGGAATTTAAGAAGGCGCCGAAATGGATTATGGAATTACGACTGTACAATCTCGTCTCGTGTTTTGTTCCTGATCATCGTTGCTGTAGTGATAGTGTTCACCGCCAGCAGAGAGATACAAACACATGTCGAAGTTCGGTTGGGATTTGTTCTACTCCTCCTCACAGTAATCATGTTAAGTACAATATGTGGCATGTGTCACCTTGGATGGTTGGTACAGAAAGACGGTCTCCTATCCATCGTTTCCGCTAAACGCGACACAAGAACACCGAAACTTCAAGTGGTATTCCTGTGGGTATTCGGTATCGGGTCTGGACTGTATTGTGCATTATTTGTCGGGAAACAAATCGAATGTTCAGTACTTACTAATGGAGGATTTTATTGGCATGCTTTATTTTATTTCAATATCTTATTAACTATTTCCATTTTCACGGACTTGATTTTTCTTTCTTATTTTTCGCCGTTTGAACTAAAACAAACAACTTCAGTTAATTTTGCTATGTTTATTACTTTAACTGCAAATGTAACTGTAATACTATATATTTATCTTTTGGATGGTACACTTTTATTTGTGAAAATAATCGACCCTGATGTTCAGTTGATTTCCTGTATAGACAACAACAGTACAATGACAATTCTTCTAGACAAATCACGACGATTTCTAGCGCCAACTTTTGTTGAGTTCGCCCTTCTATCGACAACATTACTTCTTGATATTTGGTCACTTACTCAAGTTTATCATCCTGATAGCGGATCAACTAGCATCGAAATAAATGACAGAGATAATTCGGAACAGACAACCTTTATTCAAAGCGCTGACAATCAGGACTCGGAGCAGATATGTCTTTTAAGTTCAGTTACATGTACCAATGATGATCCGAATCAAGCATATCGTCAGCATGCAGCGATCGAACCTTATCATTCCGAAAATGGCGATAGACGAAAAGTATCACAGATTGTAACCTTGGTTGGCAGCTTAACTGCAGGACTAGGACTTGTCGTTTGTTATACTGCACAAGCCATGGCTATGGAAAACATAAAAAACATTCGATACGCAACTGAAATTTATGAATTAACATTAGCAGTTGTAATGGTGCTTGTGATCTTTGTTGGTTTCTTTTGTTTGACTTATTACTGTACTCCTGACAGATCAGCTAAACATCTGCGGCCTAGTGATTATGTGTACTTACTATCAGCATTTGGTGTAATTATGCTTCATTTCTATGAAGCTTTGGGTGGTGACGTGTCCTCCGATTCGGCCGGTAGTATTATTCTGTACAGAAGTATAATAAGCCTATTTCAAGATTACCTACAAGTTGTCTTTCTACTCCAGGCGAATCGATGTAAGAAATCTCGATCAAGCGTTGATCTGCTTGAATCGGTTCTGATATTTACAATGATAATTAATATAATATTCTGGTTTAACAATAGCTTTCTTTTAGCTGAATTCCCAAGTACAAGCATACTCGAAAATGATCACTTTTCTAAGGAATTGTTGGGTTTAGTGTATAAAGTTTTGATACCTGTGGCAATATTCTTTAGATTTACATCTTTTTTAGAATTCTATGCAACATTCGAGAAATATCGTTCTCAGGAATAATACATGCAAGAAGATGTGCTCCATTGTCAACCATCTTCTTAAAATTTGTAAAAAGAAGACGTCAGAAAGTTTCATCGGGATTTTAGAACATATTTATATTTTTAGAATGTACAGTAAAACCTCGTCATATTGCCAACATTTACAAATTAGGGCGTTATAAGTAGGTTCGGTGATAAAGTGAGATAATAGTACATGTATAACGAAATTCTTAAGAAAACGAGAAAAAATTAAACATTGAAATATCTGGCGATAAACGAGATAGTAAATGATAGAAATTGGGCGTTACGTCGAGGTTTTACTATAAATATAATGTCTGTCTGTATACCTATTAATTCATGCTAGTTATATCGGGTTTTAAGTAAGTGTATGGGGCCATTTAAATTTAGATTTATCATAACAAATATCTATGTCTGTTCACAATTGCAATCGTACAGCACCATATGACTTTTGATTTACAGCGTTAAAATATATCACAATTGATCATGTTAACGAATTCCCAAGTCATCCATTATACAACAGCCGTTTTTATGAACATGTTCTGACAATTTGATTGGATAAAACCTTGGACTGTGGAACTTGTCAGCTTTACAATTGGCGTTGTAAGACTTTGTGCTCTTCCATCCACTATATAGTGACATCATTCATGGTTAAGTTTTACAAGTGTTAGCTTTACAAACATTTTTAATTAACTCAATTCGATCATCTTTATTTCGAATCTTTGCTGTATAGTTAGATATATATTTGTTAATGTCTGTAAAGAATGTCTTGTCTTAAATTTTTTAATAAAATCAAACTCACAGTAGAAGTTATAAGTTATTTATGGTGCGGCAAACATTTCCTGGTGTGAGAAACAGGCTTGTTCATTTATTGTTTTAAGTATCAGCACACATAAGTATGATTCAGGTTTTTTCCCAAAACAAATCTAAAACTTCCCACATACACTATTAAAGTGTCTCAAGTGCAAAATTGTATACGTGTAATTATATCAGAGATTGAATTGACTAATGAAGTAACGGTGACACGGTTCATTCATGTAATAATCTAATGTTTGTAGTGGATTTTTCTTACATACAAGAACAGAAGTTTAACAACACAAAGGGATAACACTACAACTGTGTTTAATGAAACTGACCGAAACAGCTGATAAATAGTCGATAGGTAAGTCGCGGTGACTTTCTTTTTCAATAGGCATAACTGTGTTACCTGTGTGTCTCAATTAACATAATCACCACGCGATACTACATATCGATATATGTTGATCATGGTTCACAAGTATATTGACGTCGAGACAGAAGTATAAGTTTGAAGTTCATAACTTGTCCCTCTCTGGCCATCTCTCAAGCATCAAAACATCTTCCACGGTATTGATGAAGTTTGAAGAAAACCTAGGATGCAGATCACCAGGTAATTGACAGACACTCATAGGGAAGGCCCTAAAGAATACCAAATCGTATGTAGAAGATATTGAATTGTTTATCGTTGAATACCATACATATTTAATTAGCTTAGCAGAATACAGATATTGTTTACGACTGAAAATATCGGTATATTCTAGCATACTAGTGAATGAAATATGGTTTCCAACTGGAACAAAATTAGACTTTCTATTTATTACATTTTTCAAATGTAAAACGACAAATTGAATATTGCTGCATCAAAGACGTTCGAAAATTACCTTTAACAGAGCCGATAAAACAATAAAAGAAATATGAGTAGATGTTATAATTGTGGACTTAAATGTGTTTATTTCCTCAGTCTTTTGGGACCCTAGAGATTGATCACAACTGCTGCTTGATGTCCACCTCAGACATCTGTGATTCAACCTGTGAAATATCCCGAGTTATCATTTCATCCATAATTGTGTTGCATCAATAAATAAAAAATGAAATTAAAATACAACTATCAGTAAGTTATTATTTATAAGACGTCCTCTGCATTAATATGAAATTTCTTTAGAAATAAATATCAAACAGTCGTGTTCGTGTATATGGTTATATAAATCTGCAATACCTGTTGCACCCATTATGATATTACTATATAACATAGTTTAAAACAGATCTTACAGGTCAAAGGCAAGTAACTCACAATTTCTGTTATACCATATCGCGTGGTTACCGTGTAATGCGTCATCTCAAATATAGATTTGAATGTTGTCTTCTTTAATTTGACGGAAAGATACTGCCATCACTTTGTCGAGGTCGTCTACAGCAGCAAACGTTTTCCATCACATGAGACAACAAGTGTCTTATTTCTTTGAGTGTATTGTTTATGTCTGTTACCTCCTCTATTGTCTTTCTTTCGTAATCGTCTCCCTGAAAATAAATGTCAGCTTCATGTAGCGAGGTATTCAAATACATCATTTAAATCATCGCGCGTAATGCCCGTGTTACGGAATGTATGTGTGTGCACGTTCAGCACGGACCACCTGTCCATATCCCAGTCACCACCGTCTCCCTACTACACTCTGACTTTACCTCTCGACGGTATCCAGTCACTACTTACTTTGGATGATCTTTGCAAGTGTTTATGTGTGTCAGTATACAAAAATATAATTTCAAACATGATAAGCAGTCGTCATATTTCATCATCGTATATCCTTTTTTTCGTATTGTGAGCGATATGTGTGTGTGATTACGTATGTTTATTTATTTCATAGGTGTATTTGTCAACGACAGAGAACGAATACAGCTAACATTTACTGGAACTGCGTTTGAGTTGTTCTTAATATTAGAACCTACTCTTTTGTCAATAACTGGTGAATGATGCCCTGATTGTTGCAGCAACGTACTTAAAGAGCACAACTTAATCCGCCTGGTCTTCTTTGATTTATTTTGTGACCGGACTGAGCAATCTCGAAAAAAAGAGTAAAGGGAGACTAACAAGGGTAGTATTTCTTGATTCAAAGTGGTCGACTTCCTTTTTTGACGGCAAGTGGGATTTTTTCTTTAAACAGCAAATATGCAATCGATTGTAAAAAAAAACAACATAAATTCGTCACGGGATTCCCCTCATTAGTTAAGGCCCCTCTAAATTTGTAATTACATTGTACTCCATTAGGGAGTGCTATTTTGCTTTCGTATCTAAAACCATATTCGTATTTTGCATATACTGTGTTATTATACCATCCATAAAAAGTCCAGCATTCAGTCAGCACAAAATAAGTAAAATAATGAAATGACTTCCCTAAACGATTTTAAAGGACTCTGCCTATATATGCGATTCTCTATTTTAACATTTAAATGTAAATGTTCAAGCCTGAATACTTATATTGCATATAACATTCAATCTAACCTTATTAAGATAACTTCACTTCAATGGGCGTTACTACAGGTGGAGTGGGAGACGTAGCATAGCCTTTTGCAAGTCATGTTCCTGTAAGCATTGATAGCTTCATCATTGAGGTGTTGTGTGAAAAGGGTATTGTCTAAATCATTGCTATCTTTACTATACAGCATTACGTGTTCAGTGAAATGTAAGCATTGTCAACTTTGCTACATTGGTACATGTGAACAATGTAACCTTAATTTACATATCCTTAGTAAGTATATCACTACGCATGCGTGGTTAAGATATTGGATTTCCCAAAGTAAAATTAACTTCCTGTTTCCTTTATTACAATAGAGCAAACGCACTGTGTGATTTCTAACTTAATAACTAGTTACTTTACTCTATAATGCGGTACATATCTACTAACTAACCACCCACCGACATTGTATGTACACTACATGTAAGACCGTAGTCAATGACTGGGTCTTCGTAACATGTATACTTAGCGCATCCCCTTCCACGTCATTAAACATATCATACATGAAGTGTTGAAGACCTATATTGTCCTGCTTATCTGGCGAAGTCTACATAATTAAGGGATTTTTTTTTTTTACTTCTATACAAGGTAAGGTATTTCGAATCATCATAGAATATTTAAGGAATCAAAATGTTTTAAAATGATATGATTATTCTTTAGTGCATTATAAATGTGTATTAAGATTATTTACACTGCATTGCATAAAGTATCCGTAAATTTATTCATGGAGATAATAGCAGTAGATCGTTCATGATCAAACGGACTAACTGACTGAAACACACAGGTAGGCACGCTCACACACATGTACACAGGAACACCCTTAAACAAACATTCACAAATAAACACGCTCAAACGTCAATAAGGGCACGTTGTAAGATGTACGGTGTACTTATGAAATTCAACTCCTTAATTATCTTCATTGTATTGAGAAAATTGTTAGTCATATTTGAAATAGGATGGAAGGTGGGTAAACTCCAAACTTTTATGAATTTCGAAAATTATAGAAATGGTGGTAAAATACAGACAGTGGTTTATGTACGATTATTCAGTCTTACCTGTAGTAGGTGTATACGCTGTATGAAAGGGGGTGTTCACTATTCGTGAGCATCGAGGATGTAAAATTAAACAAAGATACAAAAGAAAAAGAATTTATAATTTTGAATAGCGAAAATCCGGTTGTTTGTCTGTCTGTCATATCTAACACACAGTCACTCAAGGACGTATACTCTCCATCCTATTATTAAATGCTGTATAAAAAAAATGCTGTTTATTATTATTATTATTATTATTATTATTATTATCCTAGTTCAGCCTTGGATATGAACTATTTTATGACGTCATTTGCACCTAGTTCTCAAGTGATACTACAAATTAGCTATATCTAATATGTTACCGATTCATTGCATGTTCTGCATTCAGCGTTATGACGTATGGGTTGAAATATATGACACTGGTTTATCTGAAGCAGAGTTGCGTTTTCGCTGTTAGTGTTATTACACAAGTTACACCCTGTTGAGTAATGTGTACCGCAATATTGTTGATTTGTTTAAATACATAATTGCTAATATTAACCTTTAAAAGACAAACAAATATTGCTTTATAAAATATCATTACCGTGAGGGAAAACAGGGGCTAGGAGTTGTCTCAACTCGATTTTCTTTTCTTTTTATTTTAAATTATACGTTCCTTACAACTTTTTATTTTATTTCACAAGCATGTTGATAAATGGAGAATAGCCAGGGTAAGGGTTCATGAGTTCAATTCTCCTGAACAAATAGTGTCCTCTGTCTCTTTCATACATTATTGACGCATAATTTACTTGACGTCATGCTATCATCATTTATTTGCATATTATTCAATACAATTTGTTGTTGATTTTCTTTATCATGCCTTCTTCTGTTTTACCCTTACAACGCTCATCACCACTCAAGCTCCTCGCTATATGACGTACTTAATGATTTTTGTTTTCCGCTTTTGAAAATATCAGCTAAATAAATATTCCGTACCTCAAAACAAAGACTGCTTGCCAATGAAATTAACTGACAAACAATAAACTACTGAAATGCTAAACGCTAGTGTTCATCAGGCAAATGGTCCTATGTTAAAAGATCTGACTAAGATTTTTCCAGTCCTTTCAATGAGAATAAATTAAAGATCAATTTCGATAATGACGTGAAATGTCATTATTTTTTCAAGCATAGGTTAAAAATCAAGATAATAGCATGTTTCAAGAAGATTGAATCAGAACGGCATAACGCAAAAAAAGTTGTTTTTATGAATACTGAGGCCACAATGCATCTACATCTTGCGTGTTAAGTCACTATGCATCGTGCACACATGCCTTGTCTGGTCGAAGGTCACGTGCATGGAGCAATGCAGTATATCAACCAATGAATACGCCTTCATTCTCTTCATGGCAATTTTGCACAAAACGAACGTATTCATAAATAAAACACTACGATATCAATACAGTTTAAACGAATACAAGGAAATGATTTTAAAAAAAAGGATTTTCATGTTTTACCACATATATTATAGACTGTATGATTTTGTTCACAGTACGTTCTTAAGTGACCCTATATGTTGATAGGACGTTAAACCCTGTACAACCAACTGTTTACAGTTTTAGCTGACAGTACTAAAAAGGCACCGCCTTAGTTTAATGCATACACCTCTATGTCTGACTCTAAAAAGTTGTGTAATATTTACGGTAATATGTTGTTTGTTTTTATTCTAAGCCAACAAATGCAAGTACATTGAAACATATAATTTCCTTACGGCATCGGGGGAAAACACTAAAACAAAATTGAACAAAGGAAAAACATCACACTTCCCTTTTGTCCATCAAACATCTTCATGTATTAGTTACCATATAGTAAAGCCCATTTTAAAAATGGTACATACCTGAAAACCATTTGGACTTAAAATCAAGAACATATTTATTACATATCATCAAGCCATAATCTTACATTTCAATTTCATAATTTCTTTTCACGTAAGCTCTCTAAAACTATTTGTTTATGATGTATATCTACCAAATGTTGCGTAGTATTCCATAAAAGAAGTGAATCGAAAGTACATTGACACGGGAAGTAAAACTTGATACATCAAAGGAAATATTTCCTTTGTTAGTATGGCATTTGTAAGTATCCGTGTACTGGAAAATTCATAAAGGAGAAAACTATCGTTAAACCAGAGGATAAAGTTGCTTATCATGATAAATATCAGAATTGATTCAAGAAAAGCGACATTTGAATGAGGGTCAGATTTTTTACAACGGTTTGCATACATCAAAAATACGACCTGGAGATAGTCTTGGAAAACGCTAAGGATGCTTGTAGCCATATATATATTTGCTGAATGATCGGAAGACACATCACCTACTATCCCTTCAAACATATGCATCATGATCATACCAAACGCCGATAGCAAATACACATACTCCCGAGATTTCAAACCTTTCGCTGAACTGTCAGGAGTACAGTAATTTACCAAACAAAAGAATCCAGCAAGTATCACTATCATCATTACAAGTTTTAACGAAAATTCATATGTTACAGCAATGAAGCTAATACTTTCTATTTTTTCTGTGTCCAACGCCATCGCGACGTAACACACAACAAGACCGATACTTGTTGTTAAACTCACAGCCAGTGTTATCAAATGGCACACCTTCATTTTGCCTTGATTTCCGGAAATCGGATGCTCAACTGATGTGAGATCGTAAGGCAGAGATATCAACTCCGTAGTCCCTCTCTCCGTGTACGATGATCCTATATCAGAATAATGAATTTCCGTGGGTGACCATATCTCAAGAATTATGGCAGCTGAAAGAAGACCATGCTCCACAAATGTTGGATCTAAAAATTTCCGTAATTTAACCCTTAGAAAAGTCATTGTAGTATTGTCTTTTAAGCAGGAACTTAAACTCGCTTCATAGTCAATGTTTATTAAATACGAAATTGTATCGCCCATCAGATAGATGTACAAAATCACAGATATATTAGCGGTTAACAGCAATAGCATAACGTAATTCACCAAAATAGTCTGTTTCAGTTTGAATGATGAAAAGTAAGTGATGAAAATCAGTTGTGAAAATAGGCAAAAGATCAATAAGATATTGAACCAAAGTAATGCATTCCAATAGAATCCTCCAGAAGAACACTCGATCTGCTTGCCAACAAATAAAGCACAATACAATCCCGATGCCAGACCGAAAACCCACAGGAATATCACTTCCAGTTTTGGTGTATTGGAGTTTCGTCTTGCAGCAACAACGGATTGGATGCCTTGTTTCCGAACAAGGCATCCCATAATATAGCTCCCAATCACCCCAGAGACCATAAGTAATGACAGAAGAATTGTGACAAATCCCAATCGAAGATTCATATGTGTTGGTATCCATTTGGTGGCGGAGAATACTATCACTATTGAAAGAACGAGCAGGAACAGAACACGGGACGAAATGGTACAATCATAATACCAGGATCCATTCTGTCGTCTTCGGTAATTTCCAGCTGCGAACGGTAGAATGAATATTGACGTCAACAGCTTTCCCAACCAGGAATTCATGGTCAAGTAAACACTAAAAGAAAAATATAATAGAAACAGTTTCCTTTTGGAATATTGAGTATTCCTTTACATAATGCCATTGTGAAATAATACGGATGTATATGTTATCGTTTTGGTTTACGATATGGTATTACATTCATAACAGGTGGTCAATATGATGCCATAGGATTGTACAAGATGGATATATAAGTTCTGTTTTATAACTTATTGAGAAATTTATACTATTAAATGCATATATGATATAGACAATTGTTATTCTGAGCGTATGTGTTTGAAAATTGACATCATAATGATATCTGTGAGAATTGGACACTCAAAAGTTTAGACCGTGGCATTTTAATCTGTATACTATTGATTTCCTTGTTATCAGTAAAATTTACGGAATTTAGAACTGCAATAAAAAACGTATACAAAGTTTCACGGAAACAGCAGACGAATCTAAGGGGACATAATAAAATTCTACGGTCCCAAATACAATCAGAAATGAAACGAGGCATAGGTTTTACTACACATATAACGTAGTGATACTTTGTCAAGGGAACGTAGAATTTCATATATAATAACAGTCGACAATCCTGTCTGGATTTCAACATTGAGTTCTATATACCCATCAGGGATTCCCATTCACTTAAAATCTGTTAACACTTCCTTGTTCTGATTTGGTATATAATAGTTAAACAACTTACAAATATATAGATTTTATCATACATACTCGAAAAGACAGGCGTTGACAATAAAATGAATGCATGAACCCTTGTTTAAACTTAACTCAGAATATTGATTTTTGAGACGACATAAGACATATTATCTATAGGCTGTATATGTGTATGTGAGTGTGTAGGGGTAAGGGGGTGGCGGTTGGGAAAATAACTTTACCAACGAACACAAACCAAAGCATTGATGTAAGTATAAACAAATGTCTCCGATTAAAATGAAAGTTGATCGTAGGACTCTCACATATTATTTCACCTTTAACATTTTGTAGCCGACACAGTTTGCCAAATACGAAGAACACTGCACCATACAACTGTTTTTGTCCTTCTAGGTCTCCAAGGAGAAATCCAGATTGGTGAAGATGTGTAAAATCCCATAAATATATGAATTTCATAAAAGCGAAAATAAGGACAGGTACGATGTAGACAGTGGTTTATATATGAATAGTAAGCCTTACCTGTGGTTAGCATATACGTCCGCCTTAGTCTAGTACTTGTGATGCTTTGTAAAACACATATAATGAAGTCTTTCCAAATCGCCTTGCCTTATGCTGCAACAGAGAGCATTTACACTATTTATACCCAACGAAACAACAAGGATGTAATATTTTTAAATATATAAATAGTTTTGAATTACGTAACATGTAGTAGCGTGAAACCGTTTTTTGTGTGGTTTGTTACGAGATTATAAAGAATGTGTAAGATGATATATATTATGACGACTGTAAGAACGTCTGTGGTCGTATGTTTATTACATCAAACACAAAAACACCCAATCACAAACACTCACACACTTCAACAGGAGCAAGTGTTAAGATGTACAACGTACCTGTATAAACAACATTTGATATTGCGCCCTATCTAACTAACATAAGCCACTCTAAAGCGCTTTAGAGTACATAGATATACAATTTTATACAGTCAATACAGTTAGCATATATATCAATCAATACAATATTGAGGAATTCGCAGGATCTGCCTTATCAGGCGCTAACTACTAGTCCTATGCCACATGGCTATTATCTCCCTATGTGTTTATGCCTGTGTGTATGCTGGAGATGTATTGTGTTCCGTTTGTAGTGGGACCGTGCTTCCAAAGGTATCATTTACAGTAGTTCTTGATTCAAACTGGTCGACATCCCTTTTTGACGGCAAGTGAGATGTTCTCTTCGAACAGCAATTACGCAAATGATTGTACACCAAACCATAAATTCGTACCTTTATATTTTGTTAGGAATCATCTGTCCCTTGTAGTTTGAATTATTTCACATAAGGCAATAAAATGGGATAAATATCATTGCTAATTGGTTCATTCTAAATTGTTATATATTGTATGATCATTGTACCAAATGTAGATATCCAACAGAGGTGATAGATATGAGAAATGTTCTCAAACTTCTCTTGTTTGTCATTAATATTTGGGTTTATCCGTGCATATGATCATACCTGAACCTATTTACATTGATATAAAAATGAATAATTGATCAGTTTACTTGATTATATCCAGATGTTGGTTTTTTCCGCCATTTCTCGTGAACTGAATCAGACAGGCCATGTGATTACCTTCAATTGTTTAAGCCCCTCTCCATGTTTAGATGTATTGCACTTCAATAGGGACTGTATCAGTCGAATGATGCGATGAATTCACAGAACATCTTAAATGTCTCTGCCAGCCAAAACTGTTAAAATTGAAATATAATTCCATAAGTCATTCAGTTGTTTTAGAGATATCTTTTGCATTTACAACACCTACATATGTGATTCTTTATTTAAACGTTTTAAGTTTTATTTTCAACTGAATTCTTATATTTTATGTAGAGTTATCAAAATATCAATTAAGATAATTTATTTTTAAGTTGACGTGTTGGCTTCTGCTTTGTATGTCTTGACAAGTTTAAGTTGTTGAACAGTCATCTTAATTGATCAAATATTACAATCATTAGAAATCCCTGTCCCACTGCATTGGGTTTTTCCCCTTTTATACAGTAACCTCCTCTTAACTTCCGTTTCGATATACCTATAGCACAGTTGGGCTAGGACACTTCTGTTCGAATATAATGTAGTCCCGCTGACTTCATTTAAATCAGAACATTGTTGTTGATATTTTTTATGTTTATTTCATCTCTTTGATTTTTCATAAAAGTGTTACGTTGTGTGGGTTTTCCTTACAAAAATGATTTATCAAGCTATAGTCATGCTGGTAAAATCGGTTGCCAGTGCATAGATACGGTTTTTGGTTTGGCAGTGGTGCAGGGAACCTTAAGTAAACACGTAATTCCAGATTCCGGGTCTCATCTTTCAATGTCTTTTTGCTGTAATACAGTTTTTGAAAACTTCCAGGTAGTCATGATATAGGTCGCTGATGACATGTTGCATATTTAGGTTCCGTCTTCCTTGTTTGATAGGATGTGTATATTTAAAAACAAATATAATTATATGTATTTTATTTAAGTTAGAGCTGACACTATAAAATAATTCGCTCAGACGACGGGCGTCGAACCCGAACGTAACATTGAGCCACAATTCAAGTTCTTCCAGAGTCTCTCGTAATGCTTGCCAGTGTTTGGTTTAGTTTGGTTTAGTATTGTTTAACGTCGTCCTACCAACAGCTATGGTCATTCAGGGACGGCCTCCCCTGATGCCGACTTTATGGTGCTGCCTAACTGAAACATACTGCCGAAGCCAACCAGCAGGACACATCACCCGGTTACATTATACTGACAACGGGCGAACCAATCCTCGTCAGAAACTTTGCTTTGATGATTCACACTAGCATTGCAATTCCTCAATTAAAATATTTAAATATATATATAAGGATCATTTTTCTGATTTATAACATATATATTTATATACATATATATAATGAATAGTACATTTAACAATAGAGTCTATCATATTTAGGCATGTTGATTTGGATATTGTACCCTAGGTTGTAAATTTCGGGTAGGAACAGAGTCTTTGCCGAATTTCTGACACCAAATGCTGCATCCAAGGGAGGAATTTCTAAATTCAACATACCTAAATTATGATCAATCCTTTTCTCTTACATCTCAACCAAACTTTGGGTAAAATATGACATACACAATTCCAATGCAACACTTGATATAGCTAAATTTCTAGAACACTATTAACACAAACTAAAGCACTCTTTGGAAAGATCAGAAAAGAGAACTCAAATATCCATGCAAGAACTTCAGGGCAAGCTTATGCAGTAAATCTGATGTTCCTGAGGTGTCACACATAAGTATTTGGTATCGGACACGTATATCTTACTTGCGTAGATGTTGTAGAATGAAACGTAAAAAATATGAAAAGAATACCACACCGTTAAACAAAAGGAGAAAGATCACTATGAAAGGACCGGACCGCACACCACAAAGGCCTTGTAAACATAATATTACTTATATTTGACCTAGATTGACATGGCGGTAGTCATCTCAGAAACAAAAGAAGCTTACCCTTCTAGAACACTTGGTCCGTTTTATTCTTGTACTTTTCAAATGCCTTCTTTTGAATATTCAATTTGTTCAAATTTTGCGATTTATTTTGTCTACACTTTGTTATTTTAACCCTTTTTATTTATTCAATCTATATATATATGTTATAATATTTTTAAAGTTGTCGTAGGGTCAAATCCTCATAATAAACACTGTTTATTGTTCTGAGATTTCTCAGTTTATGAGGTACAATTAATCTAAGCTTTTCATAAGCGTGTGACTTTAAATGTTACGGAGACATAAGGTAGTAAACATCTTTATTAAAATTAGAAGTTTTAAACAGTGTCGTGGTTACACATTTTATTTGTAAACGATTACGTGTGCTCGGTTTCAATATACTGTATTTACCTGACTAGGTAATAACGCCGATTTGGTTGACAGATCATTGTAGTTATTCAAAATTAATTTGCCGCAGTTTCAATTACATTCTGTTTCTCACACTCGGTATCTTTGTTTTTTGGAAGCTGGTAAAAATCTCTGAGTATGTATGATGCAGTTTCTTTGAAGGTTACAATGTTTGCACTACTGTTGATTCCTGTGATTATGACCTAAGGTCCAAAGTGTTCCTTTAGTTTAGATTTTATGTAAACTGTACTATATGCATCTTCTCCAACAATGGCTCTCATCCTTTCCACGAGGTCGCAAATAGACAGTAAATCTGTTTATGCAGGCACTTCACAACCGTCAGGAAAGCGTCAGCTTGGCAATCATTCTTTGGTCTTTCACAAGATTTTCTCTGCTGCTTGGTTGGAGTAAATGCTACTGGGATATGTTTATGTGTACGGAAATTCACGCTACACAGTTGATGGTATACAGCATCAGCAGCCGGTAAGTCTCTGATAAATTCGAGGCGTCTTTTAACATCATTTGCCCATTGGTCTTTTCTGTGCTCACACACTTGCTCCACGGTCTTCTGTAATTCCAGAGAGCTCACAGGATAAACATCTTGACCTCCTTTCTTATAAGAATGTAAAGACAAAAAAAATCATGAGAAGCATTGCATGTATTCATGAAATATTATATCATTAAATAGTTTTTCAAAATATCATTACTTATATTTTCTGATTCAAATCGATTCACTGATATCAAACAATCGATTCACTGATATCATATAATCGATTCCATGATATCATAAAAATGATTCATTGATATTATATAATCGATTCACTGAAATCATACAATCGATTCACTGATATCAAACAATCGATTCACTGATATCATATAATCGATTCACTGATATCAAACAATCGATTCACTGATATCATACGATAGATTTAATGATATTACATTTTATGAATACATGCAATGCTTCTTATTAAAAACTATTCTATTTTAGGAGTGAGTGAGTGAGTACTCGAGAACTGGGGTTTAACGTCTTCCTAACAACCAGGATCATATGCCGACGGTATTATTGATGCATGATACTTGTAGTATACATGTGCTTTGGACTGCTTGTCATGGCGCGATTTCAGGCCGTCTTTATAGTGCCAGCTCACTGTAAGAACAGTGACGCATGTACCCCACCCAGACACATTATACTGATTCAAGTCAGGCTAGTCGTTGCGCTATCCCCTTAATGACAACAGTTTTGCAGGGATGCCACAACTACCAAATTTATGTCTTTGGTATAACATTGTACGCGTCCGGGATTGAACCCCACCCCCCACCCCTCCGACTCAGAAGCGAACGCTATCTTTTTTTTAGGAAAATGACCACATGTACTATATAAATTATCAAATGATATCACAAAATCGAATTCATTATATCATGAAAAAATCACGTAGAACAAGCAATTTTCATGTTTTTAATACAAAAAATATAAACTGCGATTTTTCAATTTCATCGTTATATTGCAGGTGTGGGCTTCCATAGTTTTTTTTCTCGGTCAAATTGCCGTTCAATAGACAAGCAAATATTTTGTCTAATGTGTAAAACAAAACATTTTCTATAAATTCAGGTGAACACTGCCTTCCCAGTAGTTTGAAATCAGCAAATATTCAAATACCAAACGATTCTTACACTGCCCTGGTATATTTATGAATATGACTGTATGCTGTCGAGCAATGACGTAGCACTAGCAGACGACGGAAAATGTAAATTCGTAACGGATCAAAATGTTCATGTTTTGATCATACATAAGCATCTATATATGATGTATCTATTAGTTCACTGACCATTAGTAGTGAAACAATCCGCGGAAAAAGATGTACGCTGAAAATAACGGCGTTCTTCTGTTTATCTCATTTCACCATAGTTCGTGTATTACCTCCCCTAAGGAACTCTTTCGTGTGACGTTGGCCCGTACAGGCCATACATTCATTTGCTAAATCAACAATTTTCATCACAAAATTTGAATATTTCCCATCGTTAGAATTTTCTAGATTTTTTATATGTTGTTTAAACACGTCTCTTATATATTCTCAACTAATAATATTTTCTGTTGCAATTGGTTTGAGGTGAAACCATAGAATGACTAGACTATTAGGATCATGAGGTATAATCAACTTATAATTGTGGTTAAATGATAAATTCTAGGTGTTGGGAAATGGGAGGGTGCTTATTAAGATGACTAAACTTCACTGGGTGTACCTACATGTGGAGTGGGATGTGTAGTATAGCCTTTTACAGGTCGGGTTACTGTAAGCATTGGTAGCTTAATTATTGAGGTGTTGTGTGAAAAGTGTAATGTGTAAAGCAATGCTATCTTCATTATACAGCGTTTCGTGTTCAGTGACATGTTACCATTGTCAACTTTATTACATTGGTACATGTGAGTAATGTGAACCTTAAATCAAAGTAAATTCTATCTCTGTGAAGGGAGATTTAGACCGGTTATGGAGTAAAGGTGAAGCTAAACTACTATTTATATTGCTGCATGACTTCCTTCCATTGCATAAAACTTAAACGGGTTTGTCTCTATGTGTGGCCTTTCATGCTAAATATAGCTTTATGTCATTCTTTTATAAACTGTATTCTTATTACATGCGTGGTTAAGATGTTGGATTTTCCAGAGTAATATTCACTTCCTGTTACACCTTTTACAGTATAGCAAATGCACTGTATGGTTTATATTTTTAAATGTAGTTTCCTTTCAATACGTTACGTGTCTACTTAATAGCCACCGACAGTGTATGATGACTGGTTCTGTGTAATATGTATACGTAGCGCATTTCCTTACACTAGCATAAAAATATCATACATGAAGTGTTGAAGACCTCTATTGCCCTAGTTATCTGGCGAACAATTCAGGATACTGACTCAATTGTTTTTCTTCAGTACAAGGTAAGTTGGGGTAAGTTATATATATATATATATATATATATGATTCATTTTATAGTTTCACAAATTTCAAAAATAATAATAAGAAAATGTTTCCGTTAATTGTCAAATTGAGAAGAATAGTTAAAAGCAAATTGTAATTGATTTATTCATGACACAAAACTAAAATTGAAATCATTTTAAGAAAGTTTACTTTATATAGATTTTACCGTAACGGTCCATAACTCTACTCTTGCTTTGATATCAAGCTTTAGTACACACATACTTAAGAATCCCGTGCAGTCGTTTGTCAATCAACCAATTTGACAGAACCTCTGAACGAGGTTTAAGACAATCACAGAAATGCAAAATCGACAGTCAAATTACAAAATCTTTTCATCGACGATGATATTTAAAAACACTCAAAAATGCTCCTATTTACTGTATTGTATTCCTGGCGTATATTACCTGTATTACAGTGATTGTGTATACACAATGTAAACTATATGTACGAAAGCGAGGTAAACGTGATTGATATAAGATATGCTTGTGTCGAATATTGATGGTATTTGTAAAATGTTTCAGGACATGCACCAGGAAGATCTATCATTGGGAGACTGTCCCATAAATGACATCTGTAAAGCAAGGATTCAATGTGTTAGTTTTGTAACTTGAGTTTGAATTACTGAAATTAGTAAAAAAAAAAAAAAAAAAAGTAAACACATCAATATTAGAAATACCTAGAGCTACACGGAACAAAAATTTACAAACACATTTACCAAGCTGTGCTCTTAATAGCAATGTAAAACTTAGTAATAAGAAATGAAAATAATTTCAAACATTTCCTATATTTTAAAATATTGAAAATAACGAAAAACATTTTTCAATAAACGAACTCTCTTTATCTTAAAAAGACCACTTTTAATCATATGAGAAGTCCGTACTCGTAAACATGCATACTCCTTCAATGAGTACTCGTCTCAGCTTCACCGTCACTAAGTAGAGTACTCCTAACGACTGAATGCTGTTCTAGCTGCAGTCGAGTACCGAACACTTTCTCGGACACTTCCTAAGTGAGCCGGCTCAATGATAAGGTACATTATGTCATACTCACGAAGAGCCAACATACATACGGGAGAATTGAAGCCTTACACGGGCACATCTACTTTCGTGTCTGTTCTACAGTAAAGTGAGTTAACACCCTCATTCTTATTAAAACATTTCTATACTCTTAATATATCATTTAACTTTTTGTCCTCCAAGACCTATGGCCCCAAATACTTGTGATAAGTCCGCTGACTTCGGTCGTCTGCCTTTCAAGATTACCCAACAAAGCAATTTCCGAGTAGTGTTAATAGAACTTTATCCAGAACTCTTGATAAACATTCACTCTGAAATGGTATATTTGACTGCCGTGTTAGTCGATGACTGGGTGTGGGACGGTTCACTAAGAGACTGTATTTTGCTGTGTATTATTATGTGCTGACACTGTGATATTTGTCATACTTTATACCTTAATTATTATAATTAGATGCATTGAATTTGGAGGTAGATTCATACATTTCTTCATATATTCCGTTTTTAACAAAAACAGCTATATCTGTCACTACCTATATACTATTTAGAGGACAAATAATATGTTCAAATGGGGGAAAATTCGTCATATAAGCTTACGAAATAGTTTCGTATTTCAACGTTGTATTAAATACATATCAAGAAATACTGAAAAGATACCTTTTTATATCAGATCTTATGTAATTTTTCAGTGTCCATCAACCGAACGGTTTTCTATCGGAATGGGGAATTTCTGTAGCGAGCTGATCACATCAGTTATGGTTCTACCAATCACGGCGGGGTACTACCGGAGGCGACAGAATGGTTCCGGGTACTATGATGTTACCATATCGTCCATGGTTTTCTTCATTGTTTTCCTTTCTATTGTCATCGTATTTACAGTCAGCCAGGATATTGATATTGAGCAAGACAAGCGTCTAGCGATCGTGTTTTTGCTACTATCGACAATCATGATCTTTGGAATGATTGCATGTGTAGCTCTTGTATGTGTTATCAAAAAGCTTGGTGTTGAGTATGTCGTGTCAAGCAGACGACAAGGGAGCGTCATCAAACTACAGTTAATCTTCCTGTCGATTTTCGGATTACTGGCTGGCTTGTTTTCAGCTCTCCTCGTGGGACAACAAATCGAATGTGGGGTGTTTAGCCCCAATATCGTTGGGATTCGTGGATTTTTCTGGGATAACAGATGTATTTTCAATATTATTACAATGCTATTTTTGGTCGTTGAGATGCTTTTCATTAGTTATTTTGCTCGGTTCCACCTGAAGCGATCTACATCCGTCCGTTATGTGTTATTTTTACTGGTGTGTGCAAATGTTTCCGTATGGTTGCATAGCGTCATTATTAACAACGAACCTTTCCCTGAGAGAATTCTAGACAGAGAGTTCGGCAACAAAAGTAAAATACCTGCCTGTCTGCAAAAAGCGACTTTTGGAAACCTTATCAATATTTCGCAACCGATACTAAAACCTTGTTTTCTGGAGTTCTGCCTATTGTCTATCACGATGCTTTTAGAGATGTGGTCCCCAATTACGATACAGCAAACGTCTGAGGAGGAGCTGCCAATTTACCAAGAAATGGTTGACTCGTCCTATCATGTGAATGAAACAGAACGGGCAACGCTTCTAGAACACACAGAATTTACTGAGAGCATCTTATCTGGAGGACACACCAACCAAAAGGTCTATCAACTCGTCAGCTTTTTTGTGAGTATTATCATCGGACTAGTATTTATTACTTTTTATGTCATCTGGGTTTCACATCCAGATAGTTCTCAGATTCGTAAAGCGACGGATCAGTACTATGCAAGTATAACTGTTGCCATGATTGTGGCAGTTTTTGTAGGATTTTACTGTCTAGTTCACTATTGTAAGCCGGAAAGAACGCCTAAACCTCTTAAGGTCAGCGAGTACGTGTATCTGTCGTCTGCTCTCGGGATTGTCATGCTGCACGTCTGCGAGGTATTATCGGCATATATAACTCCTGATGACACCAAAGATATATTAATGAGTACGTACATTCTGGCACTCGTGCAGGTCTACCTTCAAGTTGTTTTTTTGCTACACGCCAGCCGATGTCGAAAAACTGTCACAAATTCTAGAATCCATCTCCTAGAATGTGTACTGATATTTCTTATCATTATTAACTTGACTATATGGATAAGTGACAGTTTCGTTATTGAACAGTTTGTTGAGATCAAAGCTATTGAACAAGATATTCTTGGAGACGTTCTTTGGAGTCTTTATCATAACATTCTCTTACCTGCTAGCGTTTTCTTCAGATTTTCGTCGGCACTCGAGATGTTTGCAACGTTTCAGTTGCATAGTGCCAGGCACTGAGTTGCCATTGTGTATGCAACTAATTGCCTAGATGTTTATTGTTACTATAAACTATATATTTAGAGGACGGAAATGCCATATGGTGATGGAAAATGTTAGCTTTTTTTGCTTTTTACATGTACACTTTTAAAACGTGCTTCCTACTTCGCTGTTTAAGTAACTATGATTTTGAAATATGATGATTATGAAAGCTTGTGTTATGTTTTGTTTGTGTATGTTGACGCTGTGTTATATTTTGTTTGTGTATGTTTACGCTGTGTTATTTTTCGTTTTGGTATGTTGACTCGGTGTTATGTTTTGTTTTTGTATGTTGACGCTGTGTTATGTTTTGTTTTGTATGTTGACGCTGTGGTATGTTTTGATTGTGTATGTTGACGCTGTGTTATGTTTTGTTTTGGTATGTTGACGCTGTGGTATGTTTTGATTGTGTATGTTGACGCTGTGTTATGTTGTTTTGTTTTGGGATGTTGACGCTATGGTTTTGTTTTTGTATGTTGACGCTGTGTTATGTTTTGTTTTGTATGAAGACGCTGTGTTATGTTTTGTTTATGTATGAAGACGCTGTGTTATGTTTTGTTTTGGTATGTTGATGCTGTGTTATGTTTTGTATGTTGACGCTGTGTTATATTTTGTTTTGGTATGTTGACGGTGTGTTATGTTTTGTTTTGTATGTTGACGCTGTGTTATGTTTTGTTTTGTAAGTTGACGCTGTGTTAATTTTTGTTTTGTATGTTGAAGCTGTGTTATGTTTTGTTTTGTATGTTGACGCTGTGTTATGTTTTGTTTTGGGATGTTGACGCTATGTTATGTTTTGTTTTGTATGTTGACGCTGTGTTATGTTTTGTTTTGGTATGTTGACGCTGTGTTATGTTGTTTTTTTTGTATGTTGACGCTGTGTTATGCTTTGTTTTGGTATGTTGACGATGTGTTATGATTTGTTTTTGTATGTTGACGCTTTGTTTTGTTTTGGTATGTTGACGCTGTGTTATGCTTTGTTTTGGGATGTTGACGCTGTGTTATGCTTTGTTTTTGTACGTTGACGCTGTGTTATGTTTTGTTTTTGTATGCTGATGCTGTGGTTTTCCTTCTATTTGAAGGCAGTTTATTAATATAAGCTTTAATGTTGTTTCCATATCATGTTTCTATTTTTTCTTCTGTAAATTTGAGCAAATTGTGTGCAAATTATAAGACATAAAATAAAGTTTACACGAAATAAGGATGAGAGCGTTAACTCAATTTACTGAAAAACAAATACGGAAGTAGATGTTCCCGTGCAAGGCTTCAATTGGCTCTTATCATATTATGAAATAATGTACCATAACATTAAGCCTGCTCACTTGGCATGTGAAGGTGTTTGCGAACATTTGGCACTTGACTATAGGCATGAGAGCACTCAATCTACTACGCAACGATGCAAATGAGTTGAGTCCTCCTTATACGAGAATAACTTACTATAGATACGGAGGTAGATGGTCCAGAGTTTCTCCAATACGTTGGCTCTGTCTTATATGTACATCACTTTACAAAATAATGCACCTCATCATTGAGCTTGCTCACTTGTCATGGGCGCATTCGGTACTCGCCTTAATCAAAGTAGAACACACATCCCATCATGTCAATCTGATTAAAATCATATGTTACATGGCTTCGTTCACTTCGTACTACGCCTGAACGTTCAGGCGGAGCCATGTAACATATGATTTTAATCAGATTGTCCATCATGTATGATTACAAAGAGGGACCACTTATATGATTATAAATATTATTTTTGAGATAAAAAGTATGTGTTTAATGAAATGGGATTATTTCCTGATTTCACTTTGATTACTGAGTTTTTAAATATAGGCGTCCTCGGGTAATATATGAAAAATGTTGCATTTATTATTACTTAAGTTTACATTGATATTAAGAGCACAGCTTGGTTACCTGTCTTTGTAAATTTATAATATTGATGTTTTTACCTTCTTTTTTTTTTACTTATTTCAGTAATATGATCAATAACTGAAGTAACAAACTAACACATTTAATCCTTACTTTACCGATACCTTTTTATTGGACAGTCTCCCACTATTTGATCTTCCTGGTTCATGCCAAAAATAATATTTTACAAATACCTAGCTTTTGTACAGATAGTTGACATTGTTCACACACAATCACTACATTGCAGGTAAAGTACACAAGGTATGCAGTACAGCAATTAACACAAAGTGTGTATATTTTTAAACATTTTCGTCGATGAATAGCTTTTGTTATATGACTCTCAGTTTTGCTGTTCTGTGATTGGCTGCAACCTCGTTCAGAGGTGCTGACAAATAGAATGATTGCGGAACATCTGCACGAGAGGATTAGATACTTCACTACCGCGGCCTTATAACAATTATTTTTGTTAAATGAATAAACGAGTTACAATTTATTCAAATCATGTTTGTTTGTTTGTTTGTTGTGTAATATTACATTTAGCGATTTTCAATTTAAACAAAAAAGATATTTTGCGGAGGCCATAGGTATGTGTGGCCCCGTCTGTGTAATGTCAATGTACGGGGCAACTATTGTAAAATGAATAAAGGTTAATTATTTTGTTTCGTGTATTTGTGTTGTGGTATATTTGCCCTATATTTATTGACACTGTGTTAAATTGTCCTTTGTATATTGACGTTGTGGTATATTTTCCTTTATATTGATGTTATGGTATATGTGCCGCTCTGTATTGACAATGTGATACATTTTATATTTTTGTTGTTAATGTACTGGCGCATTTATATCCAAAATCCTTAATTTACGCAATTGGTTATAATTCGTTAGTCTTGCCAATAAAAAAATAAATAAAAAAATGAATTCAGCTTTTAAAATAGCACTTTTATTTATGGAAAACAGAAGCAATAAATAACAACGGATGAGAGGAACTATAAAGCTTGATCCGGAATCCGGACCGGAGAGGATTTCTTATTTGTAAGGACGTAATCAGTTCTTGTTCAGTAGGTAAAGTCCGGCTCCAGCCAATGCGAGTGCTGAAAAATACAAAAAAAAATATATAAATAAAAGCCACATCTATGTATCTATAATATACAGGTGTTTTTTCATGATTATAACTTTCTTTGTCTTATGTTCCTACATCTGAAATTCAAATTATTATTTCACAATTTTTTATTATAAGAATAATGATGATCTACCAAAAGCATTCCATTGCTTGCCAAATTACTAATAACATGAATACAGTTGTTTTTCAATGCGTACGATAAGGTTCTGTTTTTGAACCCAAAGGAGCCTGAAATTCTGTCAAAAAAATGATTATAACAGTGCTCCGGTGCTTGAACCGTACACATATCTGAATCAGCAACTCTTAGTCTACGGCAGTACCAGGAACAATCATACTACCAAACTCACTGAATTTGGCCAGCAAGTAAGGAAGTTATTAGGCCTCAAAATTGTTTGATGAAATATTGTCACTTTTTTTCTGTACGAATATTTCATGCTACATAATGTACACAAAAGAGTTAAACTTGTCCAGATTAACAAGATTTAAGCATACAGTTACAAAGAAATATATATGAATGGTATTTTTTAGATTTACTTACATTGCCAATTCTTTTTAACGAATTCGCCTCCTCTACCGACTAAGTAATCCAAGGTTTCTGGTACGCCTGGTCGAGGGTCAACATAATAGGGGTCAAATCCGCCGGAAAATCCCATGACGCTTTCTCCATATCCATGATAAGGACGTGGCATTACTGGAGGATACTGTCCACCTGGAGCTCCGACATTCGGACTACCATAACCATTGAACCGTTTACCACCGTAGTTGTGATTTACAATTTTCTTTGGACCATTGAACATGGGAGCTGGTTTGTGAGCTTGGTACTGGAAGAAGTTTCCCGCCAAATGGATGTTGTTAGGATACAGTCCAATAGCACCGTGTCGGTGTAATGAGGGTTCGCTGTTCCAGAATTGGTTCACTGGTCCCTTGTTCCCGCCATTACCGTAACCATCGCCGAAAACTGCCACGCAAAAACAGGCGAATACTCCGATAGCCAAAATATTTTTCATATTTCTGCAGTGATATGAAAAGAAATAAATATAATCCAAATGGTTAGCGTTAACTGTTACTACTACTCAGTGGAACTATGAGCCGATGTGTTCTGCTGGTGTTGACATTGCAGAATGTCTATTTATACAAATTTGGTAGAATTGGATTGACCAATGAAATCATCCATGTTCAGGAACAGTGAATGTGATTCATGACTTCAACGGAAGTGCAGACCACGCGTGTCCTAGTGACGCATTTGTAGTAATACCGGCGGAAATGCAAATACCAAAATTTCGTCAGCTTTCGCAAACTGTTGTAAAAATAATACGTAAGAATATTACTTCTTGAGAATTTTGTTTGAAAATTTGGCCAACCAATTTCATTATTTTCATGTACGCGATGTTTCAATAACTGAGTAAAATGTAGTTAAAGATATTGAAAAATGGTGTGTAAATGAATATTGAAAATTGGTCAGCGGTTGCTTAAGCTAACAATACTTATGATAATTTGGCAAAGGTGTGTATTAGTGTAGTAAGTTCCCACGCCGAATTACCGCATACATACTATACATATACGAACCCCGAGGCTGCAGAGGTGTGATGAGACCGACGGACAGATCGATCACCTGTCATCGATTGATTTCCAACAAGAGTTCAGGGAAATACGTAAATGAATCAATTCATATGACTTAATGTTGTTACATCACCACTTACACGGCGTGACAGTTTTTACTGTACCATTTTTTTAAATACTGTCCCACACGTACGATCATCGATGATTGGTTTTGTTGATCTTTTAATTGAGCTAATGACAACAGCGGGATTTTTATTCATGTACAATTGCTTCAACAAACACTTTTAAACATCCATACTTTTCGATTACCGAGATCCTCCGAACTTTAGACGGATCCCCATACCAATGAAGGGGAGTACCTGGTCGCCGACGATCGACCCAGACCAAGTCCGCTACATTTTCTTTATTTTCGTTTTGTTAGTTTTTTTCTTATAAATATTAGCGAATCAGAGGAATATACACTGTACGTTCTGTATATGTACAAACTACGGACACTAGATGTCACGAATGGTCAGTATTCTGTAGCTGATCTTTTAGGAGAGCTACTTATATTACATGTAGTCAAGAGGAAATGGTGACACAGGATTATGAAATATTTCTGATACGAAACAAAATCTGAACACTATTAAATGACGCGAAATCGCAGTTAATCTTACGGAAAAAAATATGTATTGAGATATTAATTTTAAAATGATGTAAAAATGTATTGTTATGACTTGACATACAGTCAATACGTTTAATTAATCATAATCCATGTAGACTCCACTACACCGCCGTGGTCACCACTTCTCTTATGACGATTGTAGTTTATACATGTTCCTACAATGTATTTGAAAAAAAAAAAAAAAAAAAAAAAAAAANTAATTAAATATCTTGCTTTCGTCGTTTGTTCTTTCAATTTAGAGATACCAAAAAACGAATGAATACCCGATCTATCAGCATTTAATTGCCCTCCAACTGTTAATATAAAAGAGGCCCGTGGACCGAGTATACTACTTGTTATAATTTTTGAAGTACTGACTTGAGTTGAGTTTCGAACTGGATGATAATCATGTATAAAAATCAAGATAACATATTTCATTAGCCATAATGATGGAACATTCTGTCAGCAACAAAAGCAATCTAAAAGACATCCAAATGAATTTATCACTACATACGTGTAACTTATAAGAATTGATATTTGTTGCGATTTTTCTTATATATATTTGTTTCCTTTGTAATGTTGTATCCAAAAGGTTGCATGAGACCAAGAGGCATGACATTCATTTTTTTAATGATAATTCATCACATATTATATCATAGAGCTCAATAATCCTGCTTGAAATTTGTTTTCAAATGGCTTTCCATAATATTTTTGTAATCCATATTTACAGCACTATTTTACCACTCCGAAGGGACCATTAGAACGAGAGAGTTATTTTAACAGTCATTTGTTAATTAGGTTTCACAAGTCATCGGACAACAATATCGGATTAAAAATAACAACACATTGTCCTGGCAATCAAATTATTTTCATACCAAATTTCAATAACCAAATTAAATTTGAGTTTTGATTTTTAAGCATTTTTATGGAGGATTTGGTGGCCATACCTGCTGATCGACTTGATCGATAAAATAACATAATTTTATCAGAACATCATTTTATCGTATGTCATCCTTGTGTCAATTTCTAGGACATGAGAATTTCATTTGTTTTGTTTGCAATTATTTTCGAAATGACGGTTGTCATGGACTAACATCGGTAACCTCGTCTGTTCCGGTTATCTTCATCAATATTTATATATATATAGGTAAGGAATCTGCCGAGCTGTGACGAGGGTGTCACATGATTTTACTTGTCAACCCCTCGAAATAGCAACATTTATTTTTTTGATTTTGATACATATTTTATTTGCATCAAAATAAACATTGGGATTGGGCACAAGTTTTCTAATTTATATAAAGCGAGAGAGAGAGACTTTGCTTTGATTTTGATTTTGAGTTTTTTTTTAAATGTTGACAATCTTTTTCGACACCGACGGCAGAAGTTTACACTATACACTTTTCAAATAATTTCATCTTGAACTATTGTCCATCACATCCCGTGCCTTGATTTGCTTCTTCCTTGTCGTTCCATTCGTTCTTGAATATCCGTTTCTCTTCTGCCGTCAGCATCGAACAAAAATACAATCTGATTTTTATTATTACTATTCGTTTATCTATAAAGAGATATAAAAATCTATGAGAGTCTGAAATATATTGCTGGGTGCTTTGACATATTTCAATGTAGTTTTCTAAAGATAAATTATTACTACAATGTAATAGTAACTGCAGGTCTAGCGGGATGCATTCATTCAATTCACGGTACAATTTTATTCTTTGGTCCGCATAATTATTACAAACAAAGAAGAAGTGGTATGAATCTTCAATAGGATGACCGCACTGCCAGTGACGATAGACAATTAAATTAGATTGGAATAGATCATCATTAAAAGTACTAGATCTATTTCTCAGTCTGACTTGCAATATATTGGATTTCCGATTTCCGATCAAATGATAATTTGGAACTTTTGTCATGGTTCGAAGAGATTTTTTAAAGACTGCGAACGAAACACTATTTCTAATTTCAAGATCTAGTTGGTTCTAAAGTCGAGTCGTAGATGGGAAAATGATAAGTTGGTTAGTTGAGGTCGGAAATTTGGTATGGAGTGGTTATTTGCGTCACGGAGGTGATAATGTGAGTTTTCTGAGACTAAAGGGGGCAGTAAAGAAATTAGATAACCGGGCGTGAGTTTGTTAATAATTTTGAAGAATAGCTGTAGTTTCCTCCTAGAACGTCGATTTGATCGCGGTTCTAACGTTAACCCACTTTCAGAATATAAAGAAATTCTACTAGCATAAGACGGCATTCCAGTGATTATTCAAACAGACTCCAACTTAAGTTTTTCCAATTTGTCTGCGTCACCGAGAGAGCACCCGTCCCAAACCTCACAACAATATTCTAATAAGAGAAGAATGTATGATTTAAAGATTTTGAATAAAGTCTGTCGATTTAACATATATTTAAGTTTACGAAGGATACATACCTGCTTGGACACATTTTTACATATATTTTCTATACGTTTACTCCATTTACAATTTACGTCCAAAATAACTCCTATGTGCTTATGATTATCTACAAAGTCAACACTCACATTATTGAATTTAATATATATCACATGATCATGTTCAATGCTTGAAATGAGTAAAGCTTCCGTTTTTAGGGGATTACATTTTACACACCACTTTTCTGCCCACTTTTGAATTTTAACTAGGTCGCTGTTAATTTTAGTTTCGATAGCCAACAGGGATGGTTTAGAGCATAATAAAGACGTGTCGTCAGCAAACAATTTTGAAAGACTTTCGAGGTTATCAGATATATCATTTATGTAGATAATAAAAAGTAAAGGACCTAAAACTGAACCTTGTGGATCGCCTGCATTTGTAGCTTTAACGGAAGATTTCCTATTTCCAAAACAAGACTTGTTGTTTTCGGTTACTTATATAGTTGTTTAACCAGACAAGTAGTTTTCCATGTATACATGTACCATGGTTTGTTAATTTTACATTCAGTCCCTTGTGCCACACACGATCGAACGCTTTAGAAATATCATAAAAAATACCTAGACAGGATGATTCCATTTTGTCAATATTTTCACATAATGTATGATATATTTCAATTATTTGATGAACAGTAGAAAATCAGATTGGTATTTATATATCAGTGAATTTTCCAGCAAATAATTATTTAAGTATTTAATAACCAAACGTTCGAAAACTTTCCCGATAGTACTGTACTTAGTAGTGCTATTGGTCTATAATTTGCAGAATCTTTTTTTATCACCTTTTTTAAATAATGGCATAACTAGAGCAAATTTCCACTGTTTCGGAAAGATACCAGTTTCCAAAGAAGATCTAAATATTAGAGATAAAGTAAAGGGATTTATTTGGAATGCCATATTGGATTAGCAGCTAGCACTTCCTCACATGACGACGTAAGAAGCCTATGGCAAAGCCGTTTTGGTTTTTACCCATTAAAAACAGATATCTGCATATTTAAGATAGATATATCTGTAATATTGAAATAAACATATCTGTATTTCAAATACCAATATATGTATTTATGATTACAGATATCTGTATTTAAATTTAAGATATCTGCATCTCAATTACAGATATCTATTATTTATTTGCAAATAAAGATATCTGTATTTTAATTACAGATATCTATGAATATTTTTTTTATATATTACGGAAGAATTCAAATTGAAAATGTGGTGTAATATGTAAGCATGGAAGTAACTGGAGGTACTCGTTACACACCGTGACACATTTTGAGCTGACGTGTGATTAGCCGCTTAGAACAATTGAAACAGAAACTAATTTCATTCCTTCATTATAAAATACATTATGAAACATATTTCAGCATGCATCTTTAACATATTATATAACATGGATAATAACTAGCTTAAGAACTGTTAGTATAAATCAAGTATATTTTCTTATTTGCTAGAACGTAAGCGACAAAAGCCGACTGTCAAAATTTGAAACTATGGGTGTTCGTGGAAGGTCCAGATTTTTGCTGTTTTCAACATATATTCTAAGTTTCGTCGGTATTTTGTTATCTCTATACGCTTATTATGTGGAGACATCGGCAGAAAAGGACAAGTCATTCAAGGCCATGTGTGATTTCAGCGAGAGTGTCAGCTGTTCCAAGGTGTTCACGTCCAGGTAAGAACTCACTTGACAGGTCGACCAGGGCAACACGTAACGTTACGTTTCGTGAGGCAAAATAGTAATTACGGCGTGTGTCATTGAATCAGTCTGTTGACGTCATACACATACTACACGTAGATGCCGATGAACTTTACTACCGACACAAACAGTACTACAGTACTGTAAGGAGATTGCGTGGGTTCAGGATTGCTAAGGGCTAGTACAAGCCAGTACAGTCTGTCAATTGAGCTGTTTCGATTTTCTAAATGCTTAACGTTAGCGTAGGCAAATTCACCCTGTGACGAAAATGCAGTATGACGTCATAATACATAAGATGTGACTAACATCACCCTAGTCTTTAACATGTAGTTAAAGCCTTCAAAAAGTTTGACAAGATGTTTATGAAAATGACGATCAGAAAATTGGATAATTCATTTTCCATTTTTCTAGTTCTTTATTTAGAAAACAACCAACGAGCAGTATCTTTTAAAAAAATATTGTTAACGTCTATCATTCAGTCATCTTACAACACTTTAATTAAAATACCATCTGGAAATTTTCCAAATTTATTCTGAAAGAAATTGTTGTCGGCCTGAAAGTACTGCTGTACAATCGCATGATGACTGCAAGCATAGAGACCGACAGTAACCAAAGACTGATTTGATTAAGTTTTCAAGTCCCATTTTTTTTTTTTTTTAATTTGTCAGTTGTTTCCTGTTTATGTGCAATTAGATTGGAGATGTACATATGATAAATTATCCAAAATATGGGGGGTGAGGTGGGGGGGGGGGGGGAGACGACCATTTATAGCCCTGGACTTCTCATCCGGACCCGATGAAAAACATAATTTTGGGTATCGATTTGTAAGTTAATATTTGTTCAGGACTGAATCTTTGTTGTGATGCATGAAAATTGATCTCATCTCATCCGATCCCAGCCATCTAAGTATTCAAACAGCATTTAAACCAGTTTCTTCAAGTTACCGAAAATTAACTAGAACAAAGTTGTGAAGAAAAGCCACTTATTTCAATGTAAATCACACACACATTCGGAGTTGTCGTATCAGTACGACTTGTGTAACATAAACATACAAAATATTACATTTAAACATTTTCATTACTTGCAAATTAGTGAAATGTTTGAAAGTGGCATTTTTGGACAAATTATTAACCGAAACTCACTAATGTGATAACTTGCCTGCACTCTCGTTATTTGTATAGCTATATGTATAATGCTCTTCCTCCAAACATTGTCTCTTACAAATATGAATGACTTCAAATCAGGGCTGAAGAAATACCACATCAGCACATGTAAACAGATACCCCTTTGTTTCTCATTATTTTTCTTTTTATATGTTATTGTTATACATATTTCATAATGAGGATCTCCCAACACGATTTTTAGTCAATATAGTCTTTTTGTTCTAGTTTAAATTATTTCTGTGTTTCATTATATTGTCTGTTGATGTCATTGACACTCCACGGGTTATGCTCGCTTACATTCTCTGCACCGCTGGATGTGACCTACCAAATTGACGGCATAAGCACCTATATCTATTTGACATACACATGTGATGTCTCCCGATATGACCGGGAATCTCCCGATATCGAGCATCAAAACAGCCATCCCCAGTTCCTCCCTTTTTGACATTGCGATCTCCCTATCATAATAAATTCCGTTATCCCCTTTTGTCACCCCAAACTTAAGAAACTTGAAAATAATTAATGCTGTAGTGCAAAACCTGTCTCCAGTGAGCCACCAACACAAGAAACCAGCAGTGACCACCCGTGTTGTTACAGTAATATAATTTAGGTATTTCAAATGCTTTAATATCTCAATGGTGATAATCAGGAGCACGGGCAGCCCAGACTTATCGAACCCGATCACATCACACAAGGATTCAGTTTAGTTGAAGCTGCTTTTGGATCATTGTTCAGCAATTATTCATAATAGAAGGTGATGTTGTAATTGGAAGTATTTTGACATTTGTAGCTGAAATTAAACATGTCTTCCTGATCATTTAATGCAGATATATGGAATCAAAATGGGGCAAGCACAATAATTATCTTCAAGAAATTTTAAGCAATATTTATATCTTGTTAGCTTAATAGGTGTTTACCCCCACCCCCCACATGACAGTTCTTGGCATAATAATAAGACTTTGGAAGTATATATGTAACTTCAATTATCTATTTCTTAAAAAAAGTCAGCGAATTATGAGTACAGTAACCTAAATTTATCAAAATATCTGGACTGGAAATGAATAATATTCAACAATAAATGTTTAGAATAGCTATTATATTTATTGGATAATAAATTAATATTGGTATTGTTTCTGATGGTGTATGTCTTTTATAAAATAAAGTTGATAAGAAAATTACCAAAACAACTATGAGAGATGATGGCAAAAACATGTATAATACATAGCTGGTTTCTTAGACTTCTGTCTTTAACATAATATTTATTACAATATACAGATATTAAATACATATATAATTGTCCAGGTTGATGTACCTTTCATGTTACAACACAACATTTCGCTAGATGTCTGCAGAAAGACTTGAGCATTGTTTATGTGTATGCAGCCTGTTTACGGTGAGCTATTGCGAACGCCTTTTGTTCATCGTCGTGCGTAAGCAATCACATTTTCCACTTCTCAGCAATTGCCTGTCAGATTTTGATGATACTTAGTGGTAATCATCAGCATTGGTTGGGATCAGAATCTATGAGAGGGACTTTATAATATGCTGATAATGATGTGTATATTTTGTACATTTTTTACAAATTATTGTCGACAGGTATGGAAGGGGCTTTGGACTTCTCCAGTATATTGTGGGACATGACAGTCCGCTGAACCAACCAAACAGTGTGTTTGGTATGATGTTCTACCTCATGCAGATCGTCTGTGGTGAGTATGAATGCATATATACATTTATTCAATCTTTGATTATCTTCCCTTGTATTAGCATTAATTTCACTTTGTTTTCCAAAATAAAATAATTCAATTATTCTAAAATTTAATTCAAGACCTGATAGTCTGATACAAAACTCACATTCATTTTTAGGGGTCAAACAATATCCCTATGTCCATTTTCAAAATGAAATTCTACACAAAGCCATTGAAACGTTCACTTTGATTAACGAGGGGAAAAAATCCTGTGTCTTTCCTGTATAGCATATAGTTTCACTTTATTCACCAGAAAGAAAGAAAAATTCCTTATGCACAAGCTGAAAATTAGGAAATTTACTGCTTTCCAGTATTATTAGCTCACCTGGCCCAAAGGGCCAAGTGAGCTTATGGCATGGTGCGGCGTCCGTCATCCGTCCCTCATCCGACGTCTGTCCGGCGTCAACCTTTTACTTTAAACAACTTCTTCTCAGTAGCCAAAAGGCCTAGGGTGATGATATTTGGCCAGAAGCATGCTTGGATGAAGGGCTACCAAGTTTGTTCAAATACATGACCTTCATCAATTTTAAAGGTCACAGGGGTCAAATATGTTAAAATCTTTAAACAACTTCTTCTGAATAACCAATTAAAGAAGCCTAGGATGATGATATTTGGCCAGTAACATGCTTGGATGAAGGGCTTCCAAGTTTGTTCAAATGACCTTGCCTTATATTTAAGATCACAGGGGTCAAATATGTTAAAATCTTTTAAACAACTTCTTCTGAATAACCGAGAGGCCTAGGGTTATGATATTTGACCAGTAACATGCCTGGATGAAGGGCTACCAAGTTTGTTCAAATAAATGATCTTGACTTATATCTAAGGTCACAGGGGTCAAATATGTTAAAAACATTTAAACAACTTTTTCTGAATAACCGAGAGGCCTAGGGTGATGATACTTGGGCAGTAATATGCTTGGATGAAGGGCTACCAAGTTTGTTCAAATAAATGACCTTGACTTATATTCAAGGACTCAGAGGGCAAATATGTTTGAAATATTTAAACAACTTTTGAATAACCAATAGGCCTAGGGTGATGATATTTGGCTAGTAGCATGCTGGGATGAAGGGCTATAAAGTTTGTTCAAATGAATGACCTTCATCTTTTTTCAAGGTCACAGGATCAAATATGTTCTTAACCTTTAAACAACTTCTTCTGAATAAACAAGAGGCCTAGGATAATGCCAGTAACATGCTGGGATGAAGGGCTACTAAGTTCAAATGAATGACCATGACATATATATTTTAAGGTCACAGAGGTCAAATATTTTTAAAACCATTGAATGACTTCTTAATAAGCAAAAGGCCAAGGGTGATGATACATGTATATTTGGCCAGTAACATGCTGGGATGAAGGACTACCAAGTGAATGACCTTCGCCCATATTCAAGGTTACAGTGGTCAATATATGTTTAAATCTTTAAATGATTTGTTCTGTATAACCAGAAGGTCCAGGGCAATGATATTTTTCCAGAAGCATGCTGGGTTGGAAGACTATAAACTCTGTTCAACCTAATATTATAATGTCCTTGTTCGACATTCAAGGTCACAGGTGTCATATGTTTATACATCTTTTAATAGGTTCTTATGAATGAAACACTGATATTTTGCCTGTAGCTGTATTTTAGTCCACTTTTAAGATTACAAGTGTGAGATTAATACCAGGTGAGCGATGCAGGCCCATTGGGCCTCTTGTTATAAAATAGGACCAATACTGGTATCTAAGGCTATGTTCTGTGGTTATAACTTCTATTTTCAATATGTGATTATCTCCCCTTGATCATGTCCGGATTTAAAATCTGACTTTCTATCATCTTTTTGGCATCATTCAACGTAAAAGAGTGACTTGCCTTGATTCAGGTTTAAGTTATTAAGTTGATGAAATTATACAATAATCTAACTCTTAAGATTTTTTTTAAGACAAATGAGACACACCTGAAGATGAAGTGATTACAACTATACCTATTGAATTTATTTGAAGTTCTTTCAATATACATGGCATGTTGTTCCTGTGTTTCTTTGATTGCTTCAAATGTCCCTCTATTTAATAATTTATTGTAACACTGACCAAACCCTGGTTTTCAATAAAAGGAACTTCCTGTAGGAGTTAACTCAATCAGTGTTTGATAACTGCTGCATCAACTTTGCAAGCTATCTGTTAAATGAAAGGAACACAATATTGTATTTGTGAAGATTCTTCTGGTTCCTGTTCTGGTTCTTCCTGTTATAACATGTAGGCAGGCTGTTAATCTTAGATGAAGATATCTTGTTAAATCTTGAAAAGTTGAAGTATTCCTGCATCACCCAAAGAAGGTGTACCATGCATTGTACAGCAGTATATGCATATTGTCTTAGTAAGGGGAGACACATGATTTTATTCACAAAAATTGATCTCGAGTTTAAGGATCCCTGTACACATGTGCCACTACACTGCAATTTTTCCTGCAGATGTATTTACATGTAGTCACCTCCCTTTAATTTTCTTTTCGATATGAGTATATGACTGTAGTACAGTTGGGCGAGGAAACTTTTGTTGACCGGGAAGCCCCGTCAGTTAGAGTGAAAGTATAGTAATCTGGAGTCAAGGGTTTGAATCCCAGTCTAGCACAGCTAAAAAAAAAATACTCTTGTTGAATACAGTTTGTTTCTTTCACCTTCATTACTTTTGTCATAAATTTCTCAAAATGTATGATTTTCTTTTCAGAAATTATTAATCATAGCTGTTGTTATGATGGAAAGTTTCTTGTGTGCGTATAGTTGTGATTTTGGAAGTGGTACGGGGATCTGTAAAGATCTGTAAAGTGGTACGGGGATCTGTAAAGATCTGTAAAGTGGTACAGGGATCTGTAAAGTGGTACAGGGATCTGTAAAGTGGTACAGGGAACTGTAAAGTGGTACGGGGATCTGTAAAGATCTGTAAAGTGGTACAGTTCCCCGTACCACTTTACCGATCCCTGTACCACTTTACATATCCCTGTACCACTTTACAGGGATCTGTAAAGTGGTACGGGGATCTGTAAAGTGGTACGGGGATCTGTAAAGTGGTATGGGGATCTGTAAAGATCTGTAAAGTGGTACGGGGATCTGTAAAGTGGTACCGGGAACTGTAAAGTGGTGCGGGGATCTGTAAAGTTGTACGGGGAACTTTAAAGTGGTGCGGGGATCTGTAAAGTTGTACGGGGAACTTTAAAGTGGTGCGGGGATCTGTAAAGTTGTACGGGGATCTGTAAAGTCGTACGGGGAACTGTAAAGTGGTGCGGGGATCTGTAAAGTTGTACGGGGATCTGTAAAGATCTGTATAGTGGTACGGGGACCTGTAAAGTGGTACAGGTATCTGTAAAGTGGTACGGAGAGCTGTAAAGTGGTACAGGGATCTGTAAAGGGGGACGGGGAACTGTAAAGTGGGACGGGGAACTGTAAAGTGGTACGGGGAACTGTAAAGTGGTACGGGGAACTGTAAAGTGGTATTGTTAGGTTGTCTTTCCTGTCCTCTTTCTCAAGTTTTATTTTCATTTCAGCCTCAAGTGTCCTACCTATGTTGACCACCGTACAGATTATAACGGGAGTGATGGCTAACTTTGGTTCAGTGTATCTCGCCTACATTCTCTACTTCATCCTGGAGGACTTTTGTGTCGTCTGTGTATCAACGTATGTCGTCAACGCCTTCATTTTGGCCTGTGCATGTTTGAAGCAGAGGAACTACAACTCGGCACAAAAAACAAAGAGGAAACACAAACAGAGCTAATAATTGATGACACGCAAAAACAAAAAGAAAATCCATTTCTTTCATAATATATATTTGTATGACTGCATGTTAGTGCATTTGAATGATAAATATTTGATCAAAAGAATGTAAAAAAAAATCTGAGTAGGCTGCTTTTTATTGTGGTTGAATTTAGACCACGGGTATACAGAAAGAGAATGGCAGACTGCTCCCTAGGTTTAAGCCATACTTGCCAACTTTTTTTAAAATTTCCACGGGGGAGATTGTGCACACTCAGAAATAAGTCCATATATTGATATAATGTATGTATGTACACCGTAGGGAAAAATATCACTTATAAATGACTTCTTTTAGATAAAAGCATTGGATGTTAAAGCTCAATTTTAGGGTCCAAAATTGGGGAGTCTCCCTCGAAAAAAGGGGAAGTTGGAATGTTAAGCATTGCACAATCATCATTTAGTTTGACCTTAGTTTGACCTTTAGTCATTTAAGCTGGGGTTTTTTGTCTTTATTTTCTTGTACTTTGTTTTTAATTCTAATGCTTTTCACTTTCTGCCTTGTTGATACATCTGTAGAGGGGATGCAGGGAAGGACATGCAGGGGTGAATGAGGCTGAACAAGTTAGTGCAGCGAGCAGTGTCAAATCTGTTAATGTTTTATATATCTCTCAAATTAAAATAGCAAAATTTGTATTGTTTATTAGCTCATTCACCCCTACATATTTTTAAATTGGACTTGCCCAGTCTTTCTGGGGGGGAAATTTGATAAATGTGACTTCAGGGGAAAATGGGTTAATTGCTTTCATTTATGAAGGAAAATCCTAATGTAACTTATTTTTCTATTTGCGTTGGATTGTATTGAGGTGTCCTCCAAATAGTATGATACAAACAACGAGAATCGCATTCAAATAACTTTTTATATCTTACAAAGATTTTATCCCATGTTTTCAAAATTAGCCATTTTAAGTTTGAAATGTTTTGCAAAACATGTATTAAAAATACGTTTATACCCCTATCGACAAAAGGTAGGGAGGTAAAACTGGAATCAGGGTTTCAGTCTGGTTATCTGTCCATGGATGGAAGCTTGTATGACATGTCGCATTTATGAACTTAAATTACTGCCACTAAACTTCCCAACCTGTTTTTATGAAACTTGATACACAGATAAAATCAATACCTTAGGTTGTATTATGCTTGCAACTTACCCGTATTTATTATGTAAACAGTTTTGTTGCAAGTTATATATATTTATCTAAAGAATAATGCTTTCCTGATTTACCAATACTTAGAACAAATGATAAGTGCCTTAGATTGTGAGATTGAAATCCATTTTTGTCCCTCACCCATTCCTTCTCCACAAGTATTTAATGTGCCCCTTTGCTTATTTTTTGTTTGGGTGGCAAAGTAAAAAGTTTGTCTGTGGTTTTCAGGGTTTTTGGAATTCAAATTAATGACAAGATTGTATGTTAAATGTAAAATCAATATACGGTGAAAAATCATTCCTTCGGTTTGCTCAATTTCTTTTCAATTTAAGTTTGACAGCTACTGTTTTATTTCATAGTACTTTGTGTCAACATGAGAATAGGAAGTCATCTGAACTTAATTTCTCAATCAAAATATCCTTCATAAAATGTTCTATTTTGTAAAATTGAAGAATAACATGCATTAAGGTAGTAAATCATTGCAAGTACAATCAATAAGCACAGTTGACAGTTGTTATTTAAACCTTTATCTTTAATTGATTTTGAAAAATCAGGAGACAGATCATTTGTTATCATACCAGAAGAGTAAGTAAATCTGCCGGAAGCATTTAAATTTACTTTCCTGTCAAATCTTATATATAGCAATTATAAATGATTTGTTAAAGGATTTTATTGATTTCTGGTATTGATTTATACTGCTGGACTAAATTTGAACGATTGTGTCAAATTGTGTCAAAAGGAACTATAAATACATTGAGCATACAACTCTGTTGAAAGGTAATGAAAATAGACACCGTAAGAAATATGCATCTAAGATATTGATTCATGGATCAGAATGTTATTAATTGAAATTTATTTGTTTTGAACAATTATGGAACAAGTTTTATCAACTTGTATTAGTCAATTTTGTTCCCCTAGATGGAAATGCACAAGAGGTCCTAATGTGGAAGGAAACGGGGGTATGCGGAAAAAATCTGCACGGTGAGGGTTATGAACCCCTAGCCTTCCAACGTTATGTGTACATCCTCCTATATTCCAGGGTGTTTATTGTATCCATATTAGCATGTTTGATAGTATGTTAACAAACTTTGTTATTCTGTCAGACTATCATAGATGTATTAATTGTAACAAATAGGGTTGTAAACGGTTAATTAGTTGCTCGGTCGGAAGACTGTGAACTATTTAACAAAATCAATAACTTAATAATCGAATATTTGTTGGTTGATTGATTACCAAACAGACCAAAACATGTTACGTCCTTAAATGACCATGCTTAGCTGTTAAAAGGGCATAAAACACAAAACAAACAACAACAAAAAACTGACCGATTGACTGGTTACTCGGCTGGTAATAAGTGTTTCAAAACTGTTACAGTTTTATTGATTTTTTAGTATGATCACTACTTCTGGCTGAGAATATGTAACAAATGCCTTCATTCTGGTTTTTGTGTGTGTGATTTTTAACAAGCACTCTAGCTCTTCAATAATGCTCCGCACATCAAGTGCAATATAGTTTGTGCAGTATATTTCGTAATCTGATTTTAGGGAGTGAAAACAAAATGAAAAATTACTTAAAACTAACCCTTCAATTATTGGTTTGATGTAGCTTATTTGTATTCAGTTCTTGTTGTTTACTTTATCGATAAAAATAATTCAGGATAAGAAATTGGATTTTTTGCAGACAGACTCTAGTTTTTATATGTAACCAGTGACTTGTAGCAGCTCTTACAGATGGAAGTGAGATATATAGAATTCAATTTTCCATGAGATTAATTTTTTTCTAACTTATAGCTAATAATAGGTATTAAAAAACAACTTCCATTTTGCATTAATAGCCATATGAATGCCAAATGGAATGCAACAAATTTAACACATGCTTAATGGAATTTGGTTGAATGAAGAAGTTTTTAATATCTTGTTAGCAATAAATTTACTACTGTGGGAATTATGGTTTTTTTTTCTCTCTTTTTAATTTTATATTTTTTCTCTGTTTTCTTTTTTTAAGCAGTACTTTATGATGAAATTTTTCTTTTTTTAAAGAGTGAAACATTTGAAGGTTACATATACCAGCCATAAGTATTTTGTATAATGGCTTTAGGTTTTTTGTATTATTAGAAAGAAAGCGAATATGTAAATATATTTGAAATACTACCGTATTTTCCCAATCAGAAATATACAGGTCTCTGAAAACATGGAAGAAAAAAATCATGGAGCTCTGTGCTATTATTATATTGATTTAAATTTACCTCTGGCTAAACTTTTTATTGTCATACCACTATTAAAAAGAATGTATTGAAAAAAGTATGCCACACCAGGAATTTAATTCCATGGCCACACCCACCGTGATTGGTGCATAACATAATTCATAAGTACATGTACTATGAGATTACAGAATTGACAATGTCTTAACTGCTTGATATACTATTTTAAGGTAACAGATGACCTGCAGACACGAGAAAATCATATTTCAACACATTTTTGTTACTTTTTGACAGTTGTCTTTTTCGACAATTTACTGTAAAGCAATGAAAAGAATTATGAAACAAAATCTGATTAACACTTGTTGCCTAACAGGGCTGTTTCGACAGAAGAAACAAGATCTATTCCTGTGAAAAATAGGCTGTTTCACAATTTGAATAAACAGTTTGTTTTGAATATATCCTGAACTATAAGAAACCACCATGACGTTTTAAACGTTAATGTAAGGTTCAAATGCATTTTTTAAAAACATTTTAAATAATATGCAACACAGTTCCATTCAAACATTTTCTCTCACAAGCGCTTCACAAAATCATGGAATAAGTTTGAACAGAACTGTATTTCATACAATCATAAATGTATTTTAAAATCCATTTCAACTCCTTAATGTACTTCACAGAATTTAAATTTTATTTTATAAGGTAAATGCTATCAGTATTAAGAGTGATATTTAATACATCATTTGTAAAATACAGTAATTTGTAAAATACAGTACATTGTAAAATACAGTACATTGTAAAATACAGAATACAGTACATTGTAAAATACAGTACATTCAATTGATGAGTTGTATTGATCGTTAGCACTCGATATTTACTGAACGATTTGTGTGCAAGTACAGTCAATGGCAATATCCTCTGAAGACATTCATGGTGTTATTCTTAGCTTAAAATCTGTCGATCGTACCACAAAAGAGACAATAGAATTTCGTAGAAACGTTGAAAAATATGTAACAAGCATATAAATAATGAACAGGTAAACAAATCAAAATATTTTTTATGTCAAACAGGTCACATTTTTCTATTCCACCGATCATTTTGAAAAGAATAGTTAGCTTTTTGTGTATTTTAATTTTGTGAACTTTTCTTAAGATACCGATGAAGAAAGATTATGGCTTCATATAAAATCTTCTAATTCACAATTTTGTGAAAGTACCAGATTGTATTATAGCTGTATGCAACAGAACAGGTTCTATTCAAGAAATCCCTCTGTATAGCATAATTAATAAGTATAGATCATTATTTAACTGGTGTGAAATGTTTGACGGAACATTTTGTTTTGGCAAGTTTTGAGAAAAATAGAAATTCCAAGACTTGAAAATTTATATTGATATCCATGTCAATCATTATCATTATTATACATGAAAAGAACGTATGTTATTTAAAAAATAAATCATATCAAGTTAAAATGAACAATGTGTGATGCAAGTAGAATTCCATACATCCTTTTGTAACATGCATTTAGATGATACTTGGTATAGAGTGATATTTATGTGGCAGTGTGATTGTTCAATGCAAGAGATATAAATCTACCTTAAGCTTGTGAATGCATACAAGATACAAGAAACTTTATTTAACGTCGCATACAGGTAAACAAGGAACATTAGCTCTTGAGAGCTATTATTGCGACAAACATATGTAAAAATAACAATAACATATTATATTACAAGTAAAGGGAGATAATCACATATATTAATAAAAAAACACCAGTAATAATCATCAAAGAAACAGAAAGTATACATATCCCAGGTTTGTAAGTGACTGGGAGTCCCCTACCTACAAAGACCCCCGGGATATATATAAAAAAATAGTGTTAATATATGAAAAGCATTAAATGTGATCACAGATAAGTAGTATTCAGAATAGGTAAATAGAAGACATAGTTAATAGTGAATGAATACTTGAATATCACACAAGAATTACTAAGGACTTAGGATTAAAACACTATGAAGTGTAATATACATACAATGCTAATGTAGCAAAGAACAAAAATTGACAGAATATGCACTATTATAGTGTGAATTTAAAATGATACCGAAATCAATTAACAAAATTTATCAAGTTTTGTAAAATAAAATGCATGGTTACAGTACTGAACTGGGTCGATCGTCGGCAATATGGTAGCTCAATTGGTAGAACGTGCGTCTAAAGTTTCAATGGTCCTGGGTTCGAATCGCGTTATGGCTGTGTATTTTGCCACTGTTACAAAATTGGTGCTGTAAATAGGTTTCAAACCCAGGACTCTCCAAACTTTTCCAGACACTCTACCCATTAAACTACCTGGTCACTGAGATTGAGCCAGTCCAGGTCAACAAAACATGTGACAATTTTAGAGGCAGAAGATGTCAAAGTTCCGATGGATAAACATGCATTGTATATTAGAATATTAGAAAATAAATGTATGTACTTTTTATCATTTTCAGCAAAAAGAGAGTGCAAAAAAACAAATGTCAATGAAAAGGGTTTCTGTATTTGATATTGTGACAAAAGATATGAAATATTCGTTGTAAAGACGTACATGTTTTCATACAAACGATAAAGACAATCACTTATACAAAATGTATATATGTATGTGTATGGGAAGGGATATATATATTAATTTTTTGACATGACCAGACGTTAAGCTACTTAACTTGTAGACATTGCCATTTCATTACATTTACGTATATATTAAGTGCCATTTTTATTTTTGATTGCAATAAATTACAGTGTTATATAACAATAAATAGTTCTTTTGAAATAGTTGTGGACAAATCATACTGTTTATTGTTTAAACAACCATACAGTGCCTTAAGACATTCTATAAATTTATTTGAAAGGAAATTTTCACTTATTCCCCAACAGCTTACAAGGGGGGAAAAACGAAACACTATATTTTTTTATTTTTTTTTTATTTTTTTTTTTCAAATCAAGATAACTTGCCCGTTCATATTTTGTCTTCAATTTTTTTTTTTTTTTTTAATAATCATACTTTATTTATTACTATACTACTCGTGTTGTCATGTATTGTAAAATTGTTTATGTTGGTCCATGTTATATTAATATTCACACCAGTTCAGGAACGAGAGTGAATCCTGAAAGGCAGTACACAAATGGTATTGTATTATATTGATTTCATGCTTTGTTATCTGTTTGGTATGTGTTTACGTCTCAAATTATAATTATGCTACATTAATATTTTCAGTATGCCAGCCAGTATGTCTTCATTTTTGGGCATCGGTAAGACTATTTTTGATTATTTTCATGTTTCTTTTTCAATTAAATAAACGTTTTTGAAATACCATATTGTGTTAATGGTAATCACTAATTGATGTTAACGTTAACAATGATTGCTGATAATGCACCTCATTTGGTTAGGCATCCTTTGGTGTAAAACACACACTGGACATGGAGTTAAAATGTGTGTAAAACGGAATTATAAATGTTCACGCAGTTCCTTAAATGCAGTTACTTGAATTTTAGTGGCTAATTCATAATAAGATAGTTATTTGCAAATATATTTTGTTGTATCAAATTGATTGCAGCCATTGCGTTAGCTGTTCGAAAGTACTGACAGTAAACTGAGATTGATGATGATGATGATAGCCGAAAATCCGTCGTGTGCCGTCTGCCATCCATCGACATCTTATAAGGAACTAAAATATATTTGAACTGTAGTTTGGCGGATGGGGATGGTAAGCAAATAAGGATTGATCGACCTTTTTCAATTGAATGAACATTGAAAAAATGCTGTTCAATCCTTATATTTACATTCTAAATTTTTAGTTATTATCGACCTAAACAAAGATATTCCCTTATAAATTCGACATTGAATTGTCTGTGTCGTAAGTCCAAACGAGATTCCTTGAACAGCCTAACGTTAACCAAAACATTTGCTTCTACCGTTGTCTTTTGTTAATCGAGGTGGGAGGAGCATCTTCAAAATGACGCTGATCTAACATATTGCATTCATAGACCCATGAACGCAACTTCTTATGGTTATGCTTATAGAGGAACTTGTAGTGGAAATGTAAATAGACTTGTGTGAATGGTTAACCTTTACCCGTGTTTTGAAGGACTAAGGGGCCAAATACTTCAATCAACAACTTAAGAAACATACTGCACGAAGTAAAAACATTTACTCTTGTTTTGCTGGAATGATAGTCAATTAGCAGTGTTGGAGTAAATGACATTGTGCTACTTTTGAAGTCACATGGGTCAAGTATGCTTTTGAAGAATTCAAACGCCTTCTTCAATTTTTCAAAAATCTTAGCGTAATGATGCATACTGTAAAGTCGATTTTTTTGCGTATGGAAATGTTCACATTGTGACCTTTTAAAATGATTGCGCTATCAATAGTTTTGAATTCTATATATTATATTTATCTACAAAATAATATTTACGTGTGGATATTTGCACGTTAAGTTACTCTACGGAATAAATGGCGAAACTTTTCAACTTCAAAGTATCTTTTATAACTTCTCGGAATGCGTTGACTCGACCTCAAGGATACAATGATCAAATGTGTTCGAATCATCAAATGAGTTCAAAAGATCCATAAGGGCTGGATAATCTAAATTCAACTGCATGTACTAGCTCGCTGGAATGAGGGCTATCACGTTTGTCTAAACAAATGATCTTGACCTACCTACTCGGTCACATTAATCAGAAATGTCAAATATAATATACAATTATATAAAGGCCATATGATTGTTTATAACAAATGAATATCGATAATGAATTACTAATTAAACGTGTTATTTTTCACCCTAGTGAAAAAATATCAAATTGATTCTTGTCACTAGTAAAAGTAACGTTTTCTTATATTTTAACCAAAGAAAACTAAGAATACGTATTCAAAAAGCTTGAGATATGCGAGTTCGACTTTCTCCTTGATTGCGATTTCTTTAAAATCCAACGTCATAACTGAGTTATATTAATTAGCGCCCAAAAATGTAACGGCACTTTGACTTTCTAAAGCACTCCCGCGGTTTGTTACAAGGTCCGTTATTTTGACTATTGAAAATGAAATAAACATGATATTTAATTGTTCCCGTGGAATATGATTTCTATTTCACTCATGTGACCGAATACATGTTTACTGGGTGTTTTGCTTTGCTGGAAAATAGTTCTGAATTATAAAATGTTGCTCAATGGGAAACCCTCAATAAATAACATTCTGTCAGATCATCCATGTCTGTTTATACTATACTTCAGTTTGGTAACCATCAGGACCCATTGGCCTCTTGTTTATTACCCTAATTTTCCTTTTTCTGCTAGAAAAAAACAACACCAAAAGGTTCATTCATATGCAACGTACAAAAATCGACGAGTGTTTAATTGCCTTGTGAAAACTTATGTGTAAATTTATAGCAGCAGGTAACCATCTCTGCAATAATGAAATATTGTATACCGGGAACTTTTTGCCGCAGTTTCACTTTCGCTTTTTTTTTTTGTCTCTGTTATAAGAGCGAATTTATCGTTAATTGCGTACTGTAACATCAGTAAACAATACATCAAAACAGTGATAAAATGTGATGTGCGAAATTAACAATGGGCAAATGAGGATTTTACCGGCGTTGGGCCAAAGTTTCCGGATTTACAGACATGTACAATGCCTAAACATACATACTTCATCTCCAACAGTCATTTCGTTCATATAGTAGGATTATATCCTTTACCGATATTGAATATGGTTTACAGTTTGTTCTGCATAGAAAACTTACTTCTAACTCGGTATACAATTTGATGTGCTTCCTCCAGCACGGAATCAATATTTGCCCTGACCCTATCTACCCATGTTTTTATTACGGGATTTGATTCATAGAGTTTCTCCTCACAACATGTGATAAGCTGCATCAGCTCACAGACACAAAGAAGATCGGCGATGGATATATCGCTCCCACACAAAAACGGCTTATCGTCTTTCAGGAAGTAACTGGCAAGGTGAGAGACTGTCCCTCGTACCTGGTTCCTTTCATTCTCAACTAAGTGCCATTGTATCGGAGCCTTGTTCATTGTAGGTAATCTTACCTGTAAGATACAGAATAAACAAAGTTGGAATACAACACCTGTAAGTAAGAGATAAATGTACGCCACATAATATATTACTGGTGTATTGTCAGGTGAGGCTAAAACCTGTGGTTGTACCTTGGTAATTTGGCAATGCCTTAAAAAATTACATTTTATTACACAGCTTTTTTATGCTTTCAGGATTCCTCGATGTACAAATTGTTTTTAACTACTGCTGAAACAGATGGTAATTATGTACCACTCTTTAATTACATGAATTTCAAAAACTACAAGAGTACCGGGTATTTTCAAATTAATATTGTATAAAGTGTGCATTTCATCAAATGTGCAACAAATTAAAAGTGACCACTATGACTAACAAGGATACAGTAAAACGTACAACTGTTTTGATAGATGTTACGCATTGGTACCACTGCAAAAAGCTACCTATTTATCACTTCGTACCTAGATACTGTTAAGATGAAGGGAGAAGAGGAAATAACATGCCTATTGAATATATATACCCAAAGGTTCGGTTTGGTTGTATATTGTTTATAACGTCCTATTAACAGCTAAGGTCATTTAAGGACGTGCCTCCATCCATGTGTGTTGTGTAATTGGCGTGCATGTGTGTATGTGTGCCGGACACGGGGTATGTTAGCGTACTTGCCACCTTGTGATAGAGCGCATCTGATGCCTACTATATAGTGCTATCTCACTGAAATACCATGCCGATGGCATCCAACACAGCATTTCGCCCAGTCACATTATACTGACAACGGGTGATTATGCCGAATGTTAAGCAGAGAATAACAACCAACATTTTTAAGGACTTTGGTATGTAGAAGTAGAGAGAAAGACTGAGATCCCAAGTATTGTAATGGAGGGCATCAGGTTTTGGTCGCTTTAAAACAAATGCCCAATTCTGCCTGGGTTTCCCACTTTAGTTACCTCTTACAATACCCAAAGGGGTTCGTGAGCTACTTTTTGGTGTGAACTGGAAGTAGCGTACTTTACCAGGGAAGATATTATACTAGTATAAACTTTATTCATTTTTATGACAATTAAACAAGAAACTATATATTACTTTTACAAATTATTCTTTTTGGCCCGGAAGTTAGCGCGCAGGTCGTCTTAATGTAGAAGAAAACCGGAGTACCCGCAGAAAACTCAAGTCGTCGGGCAGGCGACCCAATACCTTTTCACGGACGATCAGGAAATCGAACCTCTCACTACCGTCTTGGTGAAAGGTGAGTCGCTATCCACTACGGCACCCAACCACCCAGGGAAGAGAATAATTGAGCGTAACGCAACTGATATGAAACGGGTTAAAATGGCCTCGGTTACAATAAGCATATACATCAGCATGACCTATTACTCCAATTACTTTTATCATTGTGACCTGTTAACGGTTTATTTACATGTCTATATATCTTGCTGTCATCTTATCGTCAGTGTACAGTACTAAGCAAATAACTCGTTACAAGTATGTGTTACGTTAGTGTATGTCTGTTTGATAGAAGTGTTCAGATCACATGGCCTACCAATGAAAAACATTTTTTTCTAGTGTTATTTATTTAAAAACAATTAGTTCTTGTTTGTTCATAAAAGATTGAAATGTCCATTTCTTGATAAAACAGCACACACATAGCTAAAATATCTTTATTTTGCGCTTAAACTTTTAAAAGAACATTTCTAATTCGTGTATATTTTTCAAGGCATGTTAATAGATGAATTTATTAATATTTCAACGGAAGTATATCTATATATGATTGGTTAAAAATATCCAATGTTGGGCCCTAGGGTCGTTTACCTGAATAAAAAGTTAGTGTTTGTTCGTGGTAGGGTTTTGAGACAAGGATTCGTAAAACGACCTTAATTAGATGTTCATATGATTCTTCCACCAAAAACCTTTCAGACACCACACTCACTTTCATTATCTCATTCATTTGAACTCTTCCAATTAAAATAATTGGAATATATTTTATTATGAAATTTCAGCGATGAATGGGTTAAACAAAAACCTACCAGTTCCCGGAATAATATAGTACAGTCATATCTGGTGTTCAAATGCTGATAACTCATGTACTCGTCTATTCTGGCCTGAGCCTTGAGGTCAGTCTGCGGGTACCAGTGGTCAGGCACGTTGTGTTTCACAGCCAAGTACTTCAAGATGGCCACACTTCAATGACAGAGATATCAAATAATTCTGGTGTCAACTCTTAAGTCTATTATACAAAAGTCACTTGTTTGTTTCTACAATGTATAAACATATCGTGTACTCACTTAGTGCGAAAAATACTATCATTAATTCAAGAATCTTGGACCGACGAAAAACGAAAATGGTTGATGAATTCTACCATCGGGTGAAAATAATGACGAAACAATATTACGTGATATATTAGTCCAAAACAAGCTGCTTCTGTAGTCGCAAAGGATGCATTGGAAATATTTTGCGTTGTAGTTATACCTTTACACACCGAATCTGAGCAAAATCTAAAAACAAAAATAGAGGGACCGTTTGCATCACCTTGGTGTACACCCATAAATGTGTCAAATAATAACATGTATTGATCAGCCGGCTTTGTTTGATAACTTTAGTTGATCAAGAAGAAGAATTTGATTAGAAGAACTGCAACAAAATCAATAAATCACGAACTTTGTTTTCGGGTCTTAATAATGCATCATGTATAATCGTGATCAACTACAGTGTAGCTTAAATTAAGTATCCACCACTGTTAAATACGTTTTGTTGTAGGGAGTTATCATTTTAATTACTAAAATGAATTTGGTTTATTAACTAAATGAATTCGTACCTCTCTGTGAGAATAAACCCGTCATCGTCTATAACAGGTACAACACACCATGGATTGATCTTCTTGAACCAGTCCGTGTAGTGTTCGTCTGTAATATTAGATACACATGTGAGGATGTGATATTTATTGGATTTAACCTACATTTACATGGCGGATGTCGTCGTTGAAGAAGGAAACGCTTACCCTTCCTCAATGCCTGGTCGTATCCGTCTTGTTTTCGTTAAAGGGTCTCCTACTTGTGAATATTTTTTTTGTTCACATTTGGCATTATTTTTCATCGATTTTGCGTTTGACCTATGGTTCTGTTGACACTTGTGGCGTTTTGTATGTAATATTGTCAGCGAGACGAAATTTGTTGAAAGGGAAGAATAATTATCCAAATCCAAATCCAAACAGTGGATCTTCTTAATGTAAGTAATTTAGTAATCTTAGTAATTTGCTTAAGATAAATGGTATGGTGATTACTATAAGTGAAAATAAAACAAACAAAAAACAAAACTCGTTTGCCGTTTGTTGTTAAATAACAAAACGTTTAATTTGAAGCTTATTGATATAGTAAATAAACGATAAAATACTTTTTTTGTCAAATGTCGCTATTTAAAATGTGTAAAATAGTGAGTTATTTTATTGGTGTTATTTTTTCCCCAATTAATACCACCAGTGAAATTAAACAACCTGTTATAGTTGTCAGGTACATGTGAGTAGTTAACCGACCTACTGTGAATCTGAAAACTATTTCGTCGTTAGTTCACTTATCTATGAAATGTTGTCATTTGTGACGCTGATAGAAAGTTTACGACCGGAAAACTAACCACAACGTTTTTTTCCCTTAAAAAATGACATATACATTGTAAATGATGATTAGCAGGGAATTATTTTAAAATCGGTAGGTAAAATACGTTTTTCATCAATGTATTGACTTTTGACTTAAGTCACAGCGTAGATACATGTAATTTTATGAAATGGACTTGTGTTCATCCACACAATTAAATCACGTGGCCACATCATAACAAAATCAGGATGAACGGCGTGCTCATGTTATCATGTACAGTATAAAGATCGAGTGTTAGCTTATATGACCAAAAATAGATAATTTCTATAACATTTGGTTATATATATATCAAGTGGTATAACACTATGTGAACTTATCTAAACATACATTGATCATTTCTATAACATTTGCTTTCATATACAAATGTATTTGTGTTTTGTGTGTGTAATATTGTCAGAAAAACGAAATTACCTGTCGTTAATCTAACAATACTTTAAACCACTAAGGTCAGAGATATTAGTGTAATTTAGTGTATAACTTACTTGAAACGTACTTGACCTAACGCCTCCAAGATGAAAAATTACATGTTTCCCAATTCAACTCATAGAAAAACATCAGTTGACCATAATTACATCACCAATATATTTATTTGGTAACATCAGTGATTTTATGCATTCACAGGAGAAAAATAAAATATAAAATTGTCTCGGCTTATATTAAGCTTACAAAGCATTATAAACAAATTAGTGTATGCGGTTCAAAAGATAGAACTCAAATTTGCTAGAGTTATATATTCAATACGTAATTAAGGGGAGGTAACTGTATATACGAAAAGCAAGCGTGCAGTGGGACAGAGGTCCTTGATGAGAAACAAATGAATGATCTATCGATTCCTCACCATTCCTTAATGCAACAGGTTTGGCTGTAAACGAAATGTTGTTGATCTGCAGAAAAATGTAGACAGCGCGTGACGGCTGGGACATCAAATCGTAGTAGAGGGTTAACGCCATGTTATCACTAGGCTAAACGAGGCTTGATAGGACAATGTTTACTATGTGTTTCTGACCTTATTTTTTATTAGTGGTTTCACGTATTGTTAGCTTAATGATAGGTAACTAAGATAAAACAGGAAGAAGTGTTTAATTCCTTTTCAGTTACTCGTTAAGGATATTATAGTAAATATAATATTCTGTCAGAAAAGGAGCTTTCATTTTTCATCTTGAATATGTTAGATCAAGTGTATAATTCACCTGACCTCACGTCTTCAAGATGCATGTTTTACGATAATTAGCCTTCGGCTACAATCTAACCGAGGAGATATGCGATAACATCAGCATAAGTTATAACTGGTTTTCTGTAATGGGCTATACTTTATGTTGTAGTATTGTACAACTGTATCATAGTGACTGTTTATCTTTGTTATCTGTTATGATATTTGATTGCTGATGTTTCAGTCTTAATAAAAGGGTCGGATTGTCATAAAAAAAATTACAAATTAATTTATCTGCACTGACGTTTATACTTCTTTGCTTATATATATATTAAATATGTCCAACGAACATTTCTTTGATCGGATCTAGTTACCATATACTGGATCGAAGTGTCGTTAATACTTATTTATGTTAATACAATACAGCGGAAGGATTAAAAAAACCTTATATAAATCACAAGAAAAACCCTATCATTGAGGTTTCATATTTTATTTAAAATTATTTACTGATCAGTTGTAACATATTTTTTTTTATTAAACAAGCAGGGTATTTGTTCAGTTCACTCCTTGCAGTAGTGGAAAAGTATATATAAAAATAGGGGGAATGAAAATGTAGTTATTTATATGCGCATTATTATTTACAAATAAGCGATATACAGGAAGCAATTCAAGAATTTTGAATACAAAATATATGTTCATTCACCCATAGGGAACTAGATTCCGGATTGTACTAGGATTTCTAAAGCGTGAATAAAATAGCACAAAAACATATGCTAATATCAAGAACCTGTTATCAACTTCTTGATTTGCAATATATATCAAGTATCAAATCTCTGTATATAGCGCAGCATAAAATCCGATTTTCTAAGAAAATTACACTCTACTTATCAAAGAAAAACGTAAAATTTGGGCAATGGTAGGTGACAGGAAACACGAGGCATGTCACAAAGTGGGTGTGTCAAGGTAAAATAAGATCCTTGAATCTGTATGAAGGAGAGATGAGGCCCAATTTTATTTCGCGGCACTGAACATTCCGTATAGTTTTTCTTATACAAAATTGGGCAAACATTGCTGACATGGTGTATGATAATTGCCCCCAGAAAAGTGATGCGGAGACATCCAACATCCGACATCCACTTCGGATAGTCAATGTCAACTCTTTTGAACCCTATAGCATATTGAATGTTGGTCAAGGTAGTTTATTTAAAAAAACATTGAAAGCCCTTTAACCCCTAATGATATACGGGAAATGACGTTTTTATCCTAGGCGGCCTGATTCAACATATATGGAAAAAACTAGTATGAAGAATAGAACAAATATTAACATATGTTATTCAAGATCACTTTCTAATCAAATTCCATATCTTCCAGGATGCAGTTTAAATGTCTAATATCATAACATTGAACCTCATGCTTCATAAAAAGAAGATATGTAACATCGGAAGACTCGTCACGGCTTACGTTTACAGACACCTCATGGAATGAGCGTTTCTAAAATGTTTGAACGTGAATACTCCCTACTTTTGTCGCCAGTTTATATCTGAATAAATGTAATTGTTGAAAATATAATCCATATCCAACCATTTTTTTTTTTTTTTTGCATTTGAATAATTAGTTATTGCATTTTCAAAGACCTGTACTGCTTAAAGGTTGCAAAATATTCCAAAAACGAAGTGAATCTAAAGAAAACTGACACAGGTAGTAAAACGCTATATGCCAAACTCAACACTCCCTTTGAAAACTGCTCTTGTTTCAATACTCGTGTACTTTGAAATTCCTCGAGGATAAATCTATCACTAATCCAGAAGATAAAGTTGCCCACGAAGATAAAAATCAGTACTGAATCAAGCAGAGTAATCTGTGAGCGTGCGCAAGATTTTCTACATCGATTAGCGTGAAGTAGGAACACAACTTGAAGATAGTCCTGGAATATTGATAATATGCTTGTGCACAGAAGACAACCAGAAAAGACATCTGAAGAGATGCTACCTGCAATGGCCTCACAAATGTGCAACATGATCATACAACATGCAGACAACAAATACACATATTCACGGGTCTTGAATGGTTTTGGTGAATCCTCAGGAGAACAGTAATACTCCAAGCAAACAAATCCTACCAAGTTCACTATTATAAGCAGAATTTTCCATATCAATTCGTAAATCTCTGTAAAGTTTTGAAGTCGTACATTATTTTCACACACTCCTTTGGCAGCAATGCTAATGAGATGTCCGATCCCTATGGCAAAACTCACAGTCAAAGTAAAGATCTGCCACAAGTTACGTCTGCCTCTATTTTCAGAATGTTCAGGGACTATTTCTGTAACGTCTTGAAGAAGATGCGTGCTCTCTGAATCCTGTATGTCGCTTATTTCAGTATATGGTATATCATTATGAAGATGGTGCACTTTGGCGGGCGACCATATTTCAAGAATTATTGTAGTTGACAAAAGGCAGAACTCTGTAGAAGTTGGGGAAAGGATTATGTTTGATATCTGAAGAAAATCAGACACTGTACTGTTATTGTCTAAACAAGATGTAATGTTGAGTTCATGGTTGACCTCAAAGTAAGTCGAAAATATGCTATCTTTACTTATTATGATGTGAAATAGAACCGACATATTTACTGCAAGCAACATGAGCATAGAGTAATGAACTATTGAAGAATTTCTCAGTTTGTATGTGGAAAAGTAAGTAATGAAAATCGTTTCAGTACATAAACCTACAGGTAACATAGTAGTGTAAAATAAAATCGAGTTCCAATAAAATTCCCGGGTGTTGCTAATTGAACAATCGATCTCTTTGTCTATGAGAAATGAACAACGAAATCCTGATGCAAGGCCGAAAATCCATAAAAATATGACCTGAAGTTTTGACTTATTTGCGTTCTGTCTTACAACGACATATTGAAGGCCATGTTTATGAGCCAAATAGCCAACAATGAAACATCCCAGCGTACCACACGCTATGAGTGCTGCCAGGAGAACCATGACGATTCCCAGCCGAACATCTGCGCTTGCTTGTATCTCCTGACTAGCAGTAAATACTATAATAATTGAAATGACGACCAGGAACAGAACTCGGGACGAGATGGTACAGTCATAATACCGGGATCCATTCTGTCTTCTACGGTAATTTCCGGCCATAAAAGGTAGCAGCAACACTGATTTCAATAGCTTTGCGCAAAAGGAATCCATTGGATACAAAATCTAGGATCAAGAAAAAGAAAATTTCAATGTGTATTCATATTATCTTTTTTTAGACAAACTCTACATTATGTTAAAAATTTAAAACATGCGCCAGAAGATAAAGATCATAATAAAGAAATTTGTATTAAATTCGCACCCAAGATTTTGGATTAGGACTAAGGGTAGGTATAGTCATTTTCTATTTGGAAACAATGATTATTGATTATGTCATTAAGTAAACTCTTATAAATATATATGTTCATACTAGATTTTGCAATATGTCATAAATGACAACACACTTTAAATTCTAATTTTGTAATTTCTTGAATAAAATATTTTAATTCAATGATATTCTGCATTCAATGCCCATTACTACAACTTACTAAATACTTTAACTTGTGAACTTATTTTAAGTTATGTCACTTAAACGGATTTTATTCGTCAATCTTATACAGTGATTCGAAGGACTTTTTCTGGAAAAAAACATGATTTACAGATTTTTACTTCATTTCAATTGATGAACTTGAGTCAAATTTACAAAAACGCCCTATATTTAAAACTATATTAAGAATCCATGAATTAAAGAAAAATTGCATAAATACATAATTTAAAATATTATATACAGAGTAATAAAACTTAATTGATATACAGGAACGAATGTTTCCATTCTTTTAAAATTATGCATTTAAATGATGGGAATAAGGAAGATGTCTGAACTATTGCAGCACTTGTACTTTTTCTGATATAATTCTTAGGACTGCGGTAAGTATGAGTTTTTGTTTTGTTTTTGTTTTATTTTTTTTTCTTCAAAAAAACCCCCCAACATTATTATTATTATTTTATTCTTAACGGCCCATTAACTCATAAATGGTCATTAGGGTTAAAAACAGTAGACAAAACATGTTAAAGGAAAAAACATCAAACGAACGAGACCTCTCGAGATAACTCCGAGGTCAATGTCATATGTTCAAGGTCAGGTCACATTAGAAAATATTTTTTCATACTATATGGGAATTAGACTTTGGAAAAATACGGGAAATAGACTTATTTAAAAAAAAAAAAAAGCTTAATTCACAGTCCTCGACACCATAGCCTTCACTGCATGTTTATACACACAGAAACTCAATTATTGCATTTATTACTATAATTCCGGTTCTAACTATAATGTCAGCGTGCGTGCATGTTATGTATTTTTCTATTGTTAGTTGCGTTCCTGACTACAAGATATTAGTAGCATCACAGTAAATCATACACAAAGAGTAAACTCCATATATAACTAGATCGGTTGTTACACTAAATGTACATCCCCAACAAAACCTTCCTTGTCTAAATACATTATTTTTTGTGCCTGAAACAATGAGATCGCTTAAAAAGAGATATTGTGTATTCAAGACGATTTCCAATTCTCTGAGCGCATAATCCAGCCAAATGTACCCACATGCATGTATAACGAGGTGTTACTCTTACAGGTAGAGATTCACATAGCACCCGAACCTGTTACTATTCATAGCCACAAGTAATTGTAGAAGATCAGTCATGTGTGTAATGTAAGTATGTGTGTGAAAATGAGTAGGGTTTACCGATACTGAATTTACTAGTCATTGCTTTAACTCCGAAAAAACCGAAAGCTGTTTCCTCAGAGGCAAAATTCAACATCATCAATTGAAGTTGAAAAGGGATCTTAGTGCTGTAAAACTACATTATAGGGAACTTACTCATGTATAACTACATTATAGGGATATAAGTCCTTTATACGGGTAAGCCTCCAGTACGCAGAGTTATATCTTAAAAATCTGAAGGTATGAAGTAGCATACACGGATAACTCGTATAGAATTCAAATAAACATTAACTTAGACAGACTATTCACGTGGTTAACAACAATTTCAATTTCAAGAACGATTCTAAAAGCCGAAGCGGAGAGACTCGCCGAAAGTTTGGTATTAACTTTTCTGCTTCAATAAGTTTTATTGAAAAACATCAGATAAAGGAAACATATTGTTATTAAAAATGCGTGTGATAAAAGAGGAATTGATGATGAAATGAAAACAAAATGAATTAATGAGGAACTACCAAAATTGACAAAACATTACGAGCCACATGACATTTACAAAGTGTATGGAACTATATGTATATTGTTAAGTCCTGGCGTAAAAATTTAATAATAAAAAACAAAAACAGTGGCATCGTCTCTAGGCATTTCACTTTTTGGGGGAGACTGAACAACTCATTTAAACGATTATTTAAACTGTTTATTGTCAATTCTTAACCGTATGTTTGTTAAGCTGTAAATTCCTGGAAAGATCTCAGATAAATAGTCAGGAAACAATTATACTGTTTTTGTGTTGTTGTTTTTTTAAAATTAAATTTTTCAGTATATTTTTTGTATTCTAATCAGCACGCGCAGTCGTTTGTATTCTTTCAATAATTGATACCCTGCCTTTATTTACCTAATTGAAATTGATATTGTAGGTGTCCGATCAATTTGTAACATTTTTAACTATATTAATATAAATCTATAATCCAAAACCATCAAAAGTCCTTGGTTTGGTAAGTTCATTGAAAAGAAGTATAAACACTTTCTGAGCAGCTCAAAGAAGAGGCGAGAGATGATTGATGATTGCACTTTTGAAATTTAGTTATAGAGACAGTAAGCCAAATATATACTACACTGCATCATACAGTTTTGTCGTCACTCTAGGACAGGTAAATAGTGCTAAAGGAAAAACATTGGAAATCCAAACTGTCTCACTTGCTGTACAAACAATGTTGCAGGTTGGTAAAACCCATTTATTTATGAATATTAAAATTTAGAGGAGTACTGATCAATTTCGAATTAAATCAATAGTGCTAGAGAGATGCTCAAAAACCGTTTGTTTTTCTTTTCGTTATATACATGCACGAGTACTCACCTGTAGCTGGATTAGCCTTGAACGTGATGTCGCCGAAAAAGCTCGTATGTGAAAACTATAACTCTCGCCGACGCGCACCACACTTTATACCAACAACCAGGAAGTTCCTTATTGTTAATTTATACCTCATATATGAAGATCATTGTGTTACTTGAGAATCGTGTTTTTAATTTTGTCATAGCGTCAATTTACATGTAATGTAGTCAGCAGAAAAGAAAAAAGACATGGTGAACTTGTGTTTTGGATAGAGATACAATCAGATACTACAGAATGCTAGGGGATTCCTAAAACACGTGTCTTCAGAAGAGGAAGAAGAAATAGACTGGATGCATATGATCGTCCACCTTTCTGACAATCTATTTTATAAACTTTCTAAGATAGCAAATGGTTATTAGATACGCGGTGTTAAGGAACCAACTAACCAGGAAAAATAATGCTTTCAATAATAAAGCTACAAATTGCTACATCATGTTTGTTATGGTACATCAAGTTAACCGAAAAAAAGAGGGGTGTCTATTTCAATTCTTCAGTGAGTCATTACCATGTGCTGCTTGTTTCTATTCTTTACGTCACCATGACATATGACTTCCCTCTTTGATCAAGCATTCCCTGCATAGGAACACGAGACAGTGAGTGAAAAAAAATGTCAAAATATTTTAGATTGGTTAGGTGATCTAAAGGAAGTAACAAATAAAAGCATTCTATTCGATAATATGCTTCACGGAATCATCATTGTACAGGTAGGTCGGTGCTGTCTTGTTTAAAATAACTAAAATTGGACTATCTTTTTACATTTTTGTTGACTCATCTTCAACCTAGCTTTTTATAAATTTGTGCTCTGGTTGACATAGACATACCCATGCACTTAAGTTTGATCTACAAGACTTATTATCGGGAGGTGAACAAGTTTTACCTTTTTCAACTGTAGCACCTCATTTTTTATACAGGGATTAATTGATCACTAAAGCAACATTTATTTCATAATGACGTAAGCCTTAATTTCATTTTTGCATAGAATCTAAAAAGCATATCTACCAAGAAGCGTATACTGTATAACATGAAATGTTCGTTGTGTATAAACATTCGTGGTTTTCTTGGTTGCTGTTGAACCATGAATATAAATACAACGAATTTTTGAATGATATACGTATCTACTGTTGGTTGATATAGGTTTTCTACGAAAGTTTGTACCACGAAAATATCTAAATAGCTTCAAACCACGAATGAAAATACCCACGAACATTTCGTGTTCTACAGTATGTTAAACCTATGTACCACCAAGGCAACAAAAATACCGTCCTTACTCCTGTATAAATCATAGTATAATTTTACATGTACACATAAGTTTCCGTTATCAGAGAGCCAACTTTGTCGTCAACAAATTTGTATACAGAAATTTTATCTCAATACAACACATGTAAAATTGCGTTAGGATCACGACAACTTTTGTTAAAAGAATAATATAATCAGCGTTTGATTTGTTTTGTTTGTGTTTTACGTCCTCTTAACATCTAGAGACTTTTAAAGACGACATTAAATGATGCCGTAAAGCTGTTATACCCGGAGAAAATTTACCAACCTGCGCCCAGATACTGTTGACTACCCGACGTAAACCTCAAATCTGCGACCCAGTTGTGTAGGGCTGGTGATCGTAGACGGTCGGATATCTTAAGCATTCGGGCCCCCATGATTAAAGTTATTTGGGACAGTTTCGAATACAAGTCAATGAGCTGATGAAAGAGTGTATTACATGATAAAATTAATTAAATGTTTGCTTGGGAAAGAAATGATTTTCGCGTTAACACTTTAAGCTACCATTGTATAAATATTGATCGACAGGTCAAAGGTAAGGGTACTACAAACAGTAACGCTATATAGCATTATACTTCTTTGTGTACATAAAGTCGGCTCCCCTGAGAATATTCACTATCAGGAAGTTGCTTAAGGTCGAATGAGTGTATTGATAAACGGAAATAGGAAGTACATCCCATGTTGAAAATCCAATGTAGGGAGACAGTATCACAATTTTTGCATATTATAATGAGTCTAGAGTTGTGATGAATATTGTATGTTTATCATTGACAGAACAGTGTGTTCTCTCAATATTAAAGTATTTCTAAGCAATCCAGGCATTAAATGGGTTGTTTTTGATCAATGAGTCACATGTGTCCATTTTTTGGTACTTCAGGAAACCGGCTATCTATTTCACTACTGTGAAGTTTTTCAAGAAAGATACCTCTCACATGCAATTCCTATGTGTATATGGTTTTATTATAAATATCAATTTTTAATCTTTTATAGATAATTTATTTAACACAAAGTCAGCATTTATGACATTTATATACATTAATGCAATACTTATCTATGGCAGTATTTCAAAGATATATAACTACAAAATTTGAAGAAATTCTACCATGAAATGGTGACACAAACCTATTACCTTAAGTATCTACTAAGGATATATCAAAAACACATAGTACAGTGGATCACGGTATGTTCAATAAATAAACAATGCATTCATAATTCAGTTGATGAGATAGACGCGTTAATAAATTGACAGATGGAGGTCATTTGACTAAAATTTCGACAGCTACAAATGATTTCTTCATGCCAAAAGTAATTGTGTAAAAATAACTCTTTAACGCTTGAAAAAAAACAATACTGTTAAAGATCTATTAAAATGTGTAATAATGCCAAGAATATACCGGAATCTATCTTTAAACTAAGTTTATGAACACTGTTGTATGTGGAACAAGGACAGGAGAATAAGAACGACAGGAGGCACGGTAGTCTAGTGGTAGACTCGTGACCTAAGGGTTGCGGGTTCGAGTCATGGCACGGCACTGCACGTGCTGTATCTTTAAGCAAGATACTTTACTCTGCTTGTTCCAGTCTACTCAGCTGTAAATAAGTACGTGGTTAGGCAGTGCAAGAATTGTAGAATGCTAGCCGTGAGCGCCGAAATGGCAGCACCGGCTGTATGCTCCCCAGGGAGTTGAGAAAGATATTGGCTGGTTGGAAAGGCCCTATCTCTTTGAGACGACCTACGAACTAAGTTGTGATATTGTCTATTATATAATTATTATAAAAAACATATTTTATCCGCAATCGATTAAATTAAGACAATACATAAACAAAGGGAAGATAAATACGGAGACGCCTCAAAAAAATACACCATCGACGACACTCTTCATGTAAATCTAGGTCGAATCCATGTAAAGCAACGTTCTCAAATAGAAAGCCAGTCTTATGCCAACGAAACAAGGCACACTAATGAGTATTAGATATATAAAATAATCGATATCATTTTGCATAAGGAAAATTAATATTTCTCAATGATTTTCGGAAGAAGTCCATTAATATCAATCGTCTGCGAAATGTAAATACCCGAGATGGGGTAGGCAAGAATGTTACTATCAAGAAAATAAAAGTTTAAAATCGGAGAACAAATCGAAATTGTCACGCTTATCATACAGCTTAGTAAGAACCCGTCCCTGTTGATCATGTTATAAGTTTAGATCGAAGTAAGGTTTATTCAAGGACAACAATTGTCACGTCTTTCATTTATTGTTGTTGATCTTCAGAAAGATATAGACAGAGCGTGAAGGCTCGGACATCAAATCGTAGTAGAGGGTTAACGCCATTTTATCACAAGGCTAAACGAGGCTTGAGAGGACAATGTTTACTATATGTTTCTGACCTGAGTGATTAAACGTGTGGTTAACTTAGCGACAGGTTACTAAGAAAAAACAGTAAGAAGTGTTTAATTCCTTTTCAGTTACTCGCCCCATGTTAAATTATAGAAAATGTGATTTTCTACCAGAAAGCGAGTTTTTATGTTTCCCCTTAAATATGTTAAATCAAGTGTATAGCTTTCTTGACCTCACGTCTTCAAGATGCTTCTTTTTTTTTTTACTATAGTCAGCCTTCGGCTATAATCTAACCGAGGAGATATGCGATCAGCATATTACATAAGTTATAACTCGTTTTCTGTTTATTATGTATGTTCTAGTTACCATACTGAATCGAAGTGTCGTTATTGCTTATTCATGTTGATACAATACAGTGGAAAGATTCAGAATAAAAACCCTAATATAAATCACAAGAAAAGCCCAATCATTGAGGTTTCATATTTTATTTCAAAATTATTTACTGATCAGATGTAACATAAAAAAAGTATTAAACAAGCAGGGTTTTTTCAGTTCACTCCTTGCAGTCGTCGAAAAGTATATAAAAAAGGAGAAATGAAAATGTAGTTATGTATATGTGTATTATTAATTACAAATAAGCGATATACGATAAGAAAATAAAGCATGTTGCATACAAAACATCTCTTCATTCACCCAAAGGGAACGAGATTCCATATTGTGCAAGGTCTTTCAAAGTGCGTCTCAAATAGCATAAAAACATATCCTAGTATCAAGTACCTGCCATTAACTTCTCAATTTGCAATACATAAAGTATCAAATCTGTGTATATAGCGTAAGATTGGGCAATGGTAGGTGACAGGAAACACAAGGCACGTCACAGACTGTGCGTGTCCAGGTAAACTAAGGACCTTGCATCTGTATAAAAGAGAGAGGAGACACACTTTTATTACGCGGCACTGCTTCTTCCCTCGAATTCTACTAATAAAAAAATGGGCAAAAATTGCTGACATGAATGATCTTTGCCCGAGAAAAAACATGCACGGCCGAGGCTAATAATAGCTGACCTCCTTTACACCAAATAGCAAGTTATATATTGATCAAGGCAGTTTATTTTAACAAAATTGAAGCCCCTAAAATCTCTACGGGAAATGACGGTAATGTCCTTGGTGGCATGGTTCAACTCAAATGAAAACAACTCGTATGAAGAATTGAACACATTTTAACATACGTGATTCAAAATCACTTCTTAATCAACATCACGATGTAGTTTAAATGTCTAATATCATAACTATGAACCTCATGGTTCATAAAAAGATATCGTAAGATATGTAACATCGGAAGACTCGTCACGGCTTACGTTCACAGACACCTCATGTAATACGTAAATACTCCCTCCCTTGGTCGCCA